GATATGGGCTCAATACACCAATTTAATTCTCCAATCAAATTGTTTGTTTGTTTTTTGGTTGGTTTTCTTTTTGTCCCTGCACTTTTTTTCCTGTTACAAGGTGGTTTTTTTGCTTTGCTGTGGGTGTTTTTGGCTGTAGAGTACAGCTACTTGATGTATTAGTAGTCAGATAGAAGTTGCTCTAATGCACAGCTTCCTTTCTTCTCCTCCTAGCCCCTCAAGGATAACTGTCACCCTCACCAGCTGGTACTATCTAGATTAAAAATAGACATCAGCTGCACAATTGCAAATTTCTCCTGAGGATACCAACAGCAAGAGAGTAGACTACAGTTCTTCACAAAGACAACTTCTAAAAACACATTAGAAATGACATCTCTCCCATCTTCTAAAGCTCTTAACACCACTCACTCTGGCCTTGCCCTCAGTATCTGTTTCCACCAACTCTTCAGGATAATCAGCTGCCTGCTACCAATTAGTCCTGATAAACTAGGATATAGCCCCACTAAATTGCTGGCAATAGCTGTAAGGATTTTAGCTGCTCAAAAGCAAATTATTAACCTCTGGCTCACCAGACTCTGAGTTGGACTAATTTTCCTTTTCACATTTAGATATTCGTAAGAGAGAGAATGTCAAAGCCCTGAAGGTGTAAATTGCTGTGTTACCTGTAACAGCTGATGAAAAAGATGACCAGCTGGTAAAATTTTTTTAGGAAAAAAAATCTATTCTGATTTCATAAAGAATTATTATACCTTTAAAACACAAGAGATATTAAAACTACATTCTTTCTTCACTCCAGTATTTAAGTAGTAACAGGTTGGCTTTAAGCATGGAGGGTAATGTGGAATGTCAGGTTCAGAGGTAAATCCCCAGTTCTTTTGCTAACTTTCTGGGTTACCTTGGGTAAAGAATTCTTGTATTTCAAATGAGGACTCTTTTTTTTCCCTCACTTTGTCTCTTATATCATGGACATTTTTAATATGGTTTTGGGGATTTTTTTTAAAGGTATATTTCATCTGTAACATGGAAACTCAGTGGAGGGGGAGGTGTAGGTGTTATTTCCACAATACCAGAATGCTACTCACCATTTTATCCTCTAATGAAGCAAGATGCAAGGCTGTGCTTTCCCAGCAAGAGAAGAAATGCATCCCTCTAAGTCTGAACTCCTGTGTTACAGAGATGAGATCTTTATATCATGTCATAGCTCCATGTGTAATTCATGTAGGCTAAGGCTCATAGATGTTATTCTAACACAACAAAATTAAAGTAGTTGAGAATATTGCTATCCATTTTATTATGTTATAAAAAAGGACATAACAAAAAATCAATATCAGAAACGCAAAGGCAGACAAAGAAGAGAACCAGGAGCCAGGAGAACCTCCTCATGCTCTAGCATGAGGGGCTGTGCTCTTCATTCACACTGATGTAAACCTGCACAGTGGTGACCCATTAGTTCACAGAGATTCAAGGGACTGAAATTATTTTCTCCCATCCTGATCTTCCTGGAGCCAGAGTGCACAGCCAGTGCTGTGCTCTCGTTAGACACTGTCAACTGCTGTTAATGAAAATTAGCTAGGTGAGGGGTGGGGAAGCTGCTGCCCAGACTCTCTTGTTCAGCAGGGATTTCCAGTAAATCTTCCTGCAATACTGATCCTCAGCTGACTGGTAAGGTCTGGTTTGGGTCAACAGGACATAGATAAATCAGTTTGACAGCAATATAGTTGAGTGTGTCTCCTTTCAGCATCTTGAAATGGTCAGTAAGAAGTTTCCTAGTTTTCCTTCTTGGACCTATATAAAATAATCGTCCTGTATGTTCTGTATATCTGCACGAGACCTGAGGTCTGGAGAAATTAGCATCAAGCAGTATCCATATTTAAGGAAATAATTATCTATTCAAAATTCAAGCAACACAAGGGGAAACATAATTTTTCATGTCTGCCTAATAATTTAAGAAAACAAACAATGAAATACAGCTTTTAAAATACATATTCCTTTACAATAATTTAATAAACTGTGCTGTCATCTCATAAAGAATCCGAATGGTTGCTGTGGTGACAAAGATTATCCTTGCTGCTGCTTGATTCTGTCATTTTTCTAAACATGAATTCGTAATAGTTAGGATTTATTAACAATGTGTCACACTGATAGAGATTAATTACTTGCTTTAAACTGGCCATGTAAGTCTTCTATGATATTACAACCACTTTGTCAACTCAGCAATAAGATATGATGTGATTACTACAAAATTAAAGCTATTTGTCATAAAAAGATGAAGCAGAGAGTATCAGAATTCTCAAAAAACAACAACAAAAAATCTCCAATATTCTAATGTGTATCCTGCTTTTAAATACTTTGAAATTAACAAATAGTTACTATTTTCTCCTTTGTAAATTGATTCAGTTTAGCTAATATTACAACTAGATTTATTTGTACTGGGAAAATTTGGGATGTAATGTGTCAGAATTGATGCGATCCAGGCTGCAATTTTTTATGGTGGCTCAGACTGTAATGAGAAGTTGTGAAGAGACCTTAATTATGGGACACTTTGCAGTGTGTAGAAGTGTATATGCACACACTTGTGTGTTAAGAAGATGTACTTCATTTCTAGGAATTTGTGTATGTTTCTTTGTGATGTGTGGTATCCTAGCTGTAGTAGAAAATTAGATGAGATTCTCAGTGTGGCTGTCTAAAAAGGTATCTTTTTGTGCAACTTACTGGAATATTTGTTTGAAGCAAGGTTCACTACCAATACAGTGTGAGCTTGATTTAAATAACCAGCTTTAGAGCCATTGCTTCATACATATTTTCCAGTCAAACTAGCAGTAATGTCCCTAAATCAAAAGTAATTTTAAAACTATTTTTTTTAAACAACAAGGATTTATTCTTATTTTATACTTTTTTTCCCAAGAAAAATAGGCCTCTTTTCTGTAATGAGACATGTAATACATAGTAGAAATGCAGCAGAGCTGAGGCATTTTAAAGCAAGCAAGGAATATGTGTCTGTGTGACTCTGCCTGAAGAATATGATTTATTCATATTCATCTCCGTATGTAGGGTGACCTGTTGAACTGGGTGAGATATGTCTCCACAGAATGTTGCAATGCAGAGGAAGTGACTCAGCTCTCTTTAAGTCCTCTGAGTCAGTGTTTGAAGGCAGTGGCATGGAAAACTGCTCAGATGTGCCCAGAATTAGGGAGCAATCTTCCATCTGTTACTGTCTTGCACCATTCCTACCACTTATGCTACCCAAACTAGACCATGTAGCCATTTAAGCAAAACAAGTGGGAAAAGTTTGAAAATCCAGAAAGAGGATTCTCTCAGTTGATAAAATAAAATATCCTCCCATATTTGAAAGAAAAATAATCCAGGCTCAGCTGAAACACAGTAAATCAGAAGAGTATATTTCTTTCTATTCTCACCCTTTGAGGTTTATAGAACTATAATGAACTGCCAGCCAGGCTGAAAAGAGCAAGATGAGCACTGAATAAAAACTTCTTTCGGCCTAATGACATCATATAATTAGCTTAGTTATGTTTCCATACATTAGTGGTTAACAGTGTTGTGTTTTACCCTTTGTTGCTCTTTATCTCAGTGAAAAAATATTCTCTCTATCTGAAGATAACATGGCCTGATGCTATAGAATAGCTATGTTTTTGCAAACCACACACAATAAATTATTTCAGATGCCAAATATTATACAATAAAAACATTCTGCATTACTTTCAAGGACTTATCTAAATATCTGGAGAGGGGAAATTCCATTTCCTACTGGATTTCTTTGGCAATGTGTATCCTGAGAAAATTACTAAGGTTGTAAGTGAAATATTTCAGTTGTCTTCAATAGGCATTAGAGTAGCTTAGACTTGAGATGTAATATGCACAGCTTATCCTCTGTTGGATTAATATTGGGGTCAGTGTTCTTGATATTTAGACCCTGCAGAGCACAGGTAACACTGAAACACAAGAAACCATTTCCCACAGAGTCTAGTGAGATTTGCATTTGCTTTTGTTGAAAACAAATTTCATACAGTATTTTAGAGCGGTTTCCTACTGCAGGAAATATGTACACAATATGATAACCCAGGCACTCTCTATAGTCTTAATGACTTTATTGCACATCTAAAATAAATTATTTTTAAATTTCTTTAACTGTGTGCAAAGCGGTCTAAGCACATTTGATTTAATTTTAGTTTGCTTTTTCAAAAATTCAGCATTTTACCATTTTTTCTATATTATCCTGGTTTTGACAAAATAAAGACAGGAGGAAAAAGATTTATATGGACGTATATAACAGTAATTTAATATCAATATTACAGCTGAAAAATTTTGTTCAAAAGTAATGGTATAACAAAGGCAGATAAATACTGTACCCCTTCCACCTCTAAGAAGACAGTTCTCAGATTTTGGTGTACAGCATGATCAAAATGAGTCATTCTCTGAGACAACAATCCCTAACCTGGGGACTTTTTATCTCTGCAGTTTGTATAGAGCATTGAGTCTACCTTTTATTGTGTGTTGGAGATACCAATTCAGTATGTGAGCTTTGAAAATTTTAGAAAATGTAGTGAAAAGAACAGTTTTTCCTTCCAAAGGTAATTTGGAAAGCATAAAATATTAGTCTTGGTAAACGACTCAAAATAAATACAAAAAAATGTTTAGCAAATAATGTTTTTCTGAATCATGACTAACATGTGTTACTGTATATCTATTGCAGATCAACTAAAGCTATTCTTTCCTTTAAAAGTATTTGTACAGCTCAATTAAAAACAGAATAATTATTAAACACACTTAATATTGTGATTTTTATCCATATATATTGCCTGTGTATATATATAAAATTGAAATACATTGTATATTACTCTGACTATGCAAGTGATAAAGCCATGGTGCAGCCATAATATTTTAACCACTTTTAATTTTTTTTTAATATGAGAATGCATGTGATATTTTTGTGTGTGAAAATTATTTTAATATTGACAAATATGCATTGTATATTTTTTCAGAAATTCAAAAACAGAAAACGGAGAGACCTGAAAAACGAACACCAGCAAAGGGTAACTTGTTTCTTTTTGTCTGTTTGCCCGCATATATTTGTGTAACATACAGTGTCTTAGTTGACTACATAATTTTTGTTTGTTAACTTGGTTAACTGTTCCTGTTGCATCGTAGAAGCATTCAAAGATCAGCTGGCACAGACTGCAAATGATCAAAAATTCATGTATACCTTAGCATTAACAGAAAAATATAATTTTATGCTTGTGTAGCTAGATTGAAAATGCACATTCGTAATAAGATTCTCCTGCCCAAACTTTTCCAGAAATCCTTTTTCTAGCAAGGTGCAAGAAAGTTGAGTGTTGATGAACTTCGTCTGGTGGAAAAGGCATGAAGTATGTTGGGCAAGGAAAAAAATAAATTTATAGGCCAGTGGGTGCCATCCAAGTTAGGAAGTCATAGCTAAAAGTGAGCCAGGTGTGTATCAGAGATAAGAAAAACTTTCATTTTAAGAACCTGCTCTTTTTCTGTTTAATCTCCTATAACTGGCAGTTTCCGAAAATGCACAGAGGAACTGGTTTGGACTGGTTTTCAGAGGTCATGTAAACAAAGGTGTTTTCTGGCATATCTGAAGAGGGTTTTTGCCTAACAGAGCTCTTCCATAAAGGCTAGGCTGCATAAAACGTCATGAGCATCCTTCTAACACACCAGTGTTCAGCTTCATAGTGGCAGAAGGGAGCAAGAAGGAGGCTTATTAAAAATATTGTGTACACATACACCCTCGCTCATGCAGTTATACTCATTTCTATATGTATTCTTAGTGTGATTTTTATAGCATTTTACACCTCTGTAAAACATTTTTATAGTGTTTTTCAGCTCCAGTTCTCTGCTAATCAGGGTCATCTGGACTGCCTAGAACTATTTCCCAACTACTTAATAAGTCATGTTTTACCAAAATGAATTTTTTTAGGGTACCAATGGGCAAGCCAGGAAATAATGAACTCAGATCCATTAGCAAGGATCCCAGTTAAGGCCTTTTCAAGCAAAGTAATCTAAAGACACAAATGATGTTGCAATCTTGACCAAACAGCCTCTTGTGTACCATTTCATCTATATGAAAATCAATTTCTCTACACAAAACAATATTAACATTGCAGAAATTATTACAAAGAAATTATAAGATGCCAGGAAAAAAAAAGTGTTCAGGTGTCATTAGTCAAGTCCCATTATTTAGGTGCCTGATAATGCAGTCTCTAGTTATACAATCAGTTGCTGAAGCACAAAACAATATATTTTTCTATATTTTGTTGCTTTTTTTTTGTTTAATATCAACAATGCAGCATGTACATAGGAGGCACAATGACGAGAAAACATTCTATCTGGCCTCTGTCTACAGTGTGAAAAAGGCATGAAACCTTAGGGAATTTTACTGTCACCTTCTAAAGTCCTTTCAGGAAATATGTAGCAATACAGTCTTTTATTGTTTTTAACAGAAAAAAATCCAGAAGTAAAATGAATATTTTTAATAGCTGGAAATGGAAAAAGCATTTCTGTCTTCTGCCCAACATGTGGGAACACTAGAGTTTTAAAAGTAATTTAATTGTAGTTTTTTGAATAGTCAAATCCTCTGAATACCAGTCCCACAATTTACAAGGGAGTTCAAGCTATAAGCCTCATTTTTGAAAGATTGAAGTGAAATATGAGGAACAGTTATAATGAATAAAAATCCCAGATGGGAGTGACTGAAATTAAAAGAGTCAAACAGTATTGAGAGCCAGGCAAACTGGTGCCCTAAAATTTGCTTTTAATTAAATATTTTGATAAACTACTAGCAATAATGTCTATTTCAATTATTGTAACAAATTTAATCCTGAAAAGAAGAAATACGCTGAGAAATAATTTCACAAAACCATTGGTCATGCTTAAGAGCCCTGAAATCAAATTATTTCATGATAACGTGTACATATAAGTTCACTACAAATAAGGGTCCTTCCAATTTGGTATTTGAGGTATTAGTAATTTCAGAAGTGCAGTTGCCCTGGACTGCATGACCAGGAGCTTGATCAGCCAGCAGAGGCACAAGGGATTGATAATCTTTCCGTATACAACTCTCCTGAGCATCTAGATATTGTGTTCTAGATAGGTTTTGCAGGACTGAGTTGCTGCTGGAGTCTGTTTAAGAAATAGGTTATTGTATTGCAGGGATTTTCATGGCAGGGAGGTATCATGAATCTGACTCTGTGTTCTTAGAAGTTAAATTATTATTTTATGATACTATATTATATTAAAGGATACTAAACTATAATATACCTAAGGAATACAGACAATATACTTACAGAATGCTAAAAAGATAATAATGAAAACTCATCACTCCTTCCAGTCTCAACACAGCTTTGCACTGATTGGCCAATGAGTCAAAATAACTCACACCAGAAACCAATGAAACAATCACTTGTGAGTGAACAATCCCTAAACACATTTTACATGAACAAAACAGAGAAGAAGCAAATGAGAAAAAAAATTGTTTTCCTTTTTCTCTGAGGCTTCTCAGCTTCCCAGGAGAAAAATCCTGGGCAAAGCGATTTTTCAGAAAATGTAAATGCCACAACAAGTGATATAATTGTTATTACTATTACTACCAATAAGAGTTAATTACACATTGTTTGGCAGAAAGTAAGAACAATAGTAAAAAATATCGAGATAAAGGTATATGTAAGTACAGAAGTTCTGTCTAATGGAAGGTCCAATGACAATTTCTGATTCTGATGGAAAACTGATCTCACCAGTGAAATAAATGGCCCTGCATTTATGGGAAATAGCTCTAATTAAAGCAGGCATTGAGAAGGAATGGGAAAAACATTTATTTACTGTGTGGCTTTTCCCAAAATAACTTCACTAATACATTTCTGTTGAGGTAAGGTATGCAAGAAAACAATGTAATGATGGTTAATTTGCTGTAGCTGGAAGAAAAAGTATTTGAGACAGGTAAATATATAAATAGAGCTAGACCATACAAATCCTAGTATTCTAGAAACCCACATAATTTCACCATGTTAATAAACTAAAAATCATATTTTGTACACAGACAGTCTGTCTGACCTGTAGGTACAGCTACAACTATGTCTACATTAACTTTAAACTGGAGAACATGGTACAGATGGCAACATAGCCATAGTTTCCTTAAATTATGTATTTGGACCTGGGAGTCTGTGCCTCTCTCCAGACCAACCTCTTTTTTTCTTCAGTGTTCCTTCAGGAAGAATTAAGTTGTAGCCATCTAAAGTTGCTTTGCTTCCAAATCAAAGCATCTAGGCAGAGATTTAATGCTCTCTGACTAATGCACTCTAACTTCATTGTATTAGTTCATTTATCTTAACTTTCCTGAGAGTGCTGCTCTGTAGACAAGCACTTAGTCTGTTAGCTGGAGCAAGCAATCTCTGCTTCATGCTCACTGCACTCATCACCTGGCTTTGTACTAAGCAGCAGACTTAAGATTTACTCAGCTGGAAACTATTTTTGCTTCTCTTAGGTATGGAAGCAGTGCCTTGCTACACCTCTTCTTTTCACACTTTCTGTTTTGGAAGGTGGAATGTCTTTGTTGGAGAACTTTATCCAAGAAAAAACTAAATCATGTCCCACTCCACTATGTCTTCAATTTGATGCAAACAAAATCTGAGATGATGAATGAAATTAGGAAAATCCTCTCACATATATGTGACGCTTCTTATTTTTATTTTTCTGTGAAATAGATAGCAATATTAAGTTTGGAATACATTGTTAAATTACCTTAAAATTTTCCATTATAAGCTTCTATTTTAGATTATTTATAAATTTATCACACTCGAGTCACTTAGGATGAGATTTCCCATGTTCATCTTTTTGCCTCAGGCTGAATTTTTATTCAAAGACATGCAAAAATGTTTCAGCAATTTCCAAAATCTAGGTTAGTGAAAATTAGGTTGGGATGTTATATTTTTCCAATGTTAATAAGTTTCCAATGTTTCCATGTTTCCAATGTTTCCACTTCAGTCTGAGCTTATGACTTTTTGGCATTTGCAAGGAAGCCCAAGAAAATTTCTTTTAATTTGTGGAAAAATTTTAGCTTCCATAATTGCCATAAATCTACTTGATTTTAAGTCTAGTTGTTATTTTTTCTTACGGATGTCACCAGCATCCTAGTAGCAAAATCAATAAAAGAAATTATTTTTTTAACTACAAATTGTGTCATAAAGCTAATAAAATGGTTGAACTCAAGTTGAATGAACAGTTTTTGTTTCAACATTTTTCAGTTGAAGAGTGCGTAAGTAGCCTTAAAAACATTTTTGTATGTTTGTGTCTTTTCCCCTATTTTTTTAAATGTAAAATAAAATCCAATCAACACTATTTTTTTTTTCACAGAAACATGGCAATATGGCCAGCCTGGCTAATTCTAAAATGGAATGCTTGCACCTAGAATTTTAGGCTTGAGAAAGAGTGTGTATTAAGCCCTTGACAAAGAAAATTATATCCAAGTGACAAAATATGGAAACGATCTGTAGAGAGTAATGTATTTTCTATGACAGACCTTTCATAACTACATATGAATTTGAACATAAAAATATTTTGGGAGAGAGTTAACATGCTAAGAAATATCAGATTTAAATTTTTGAGAACAAAAGCTTCAGTGGATTTTGTTGGTCTTGTGACTGAAGAGTCAAAAATGGCCAGTGATCACAGCCCTGAAACATGAACACTTTAATTTTTGGCAGCACCTGCCCTTCCCAAATAAGGGAAGCCACAGCTCTGACAGTGCCCATAAGAGGTAATGATAAATATTACAATCTGAGATTAGCAACCTCTGAGGCTATGGGGATATCAACACACAGGATAAGGCTCTCAAACTAACCAGAGATCACCTTCAGCCTATAATTGGGAAGAGAAAAATAGCTTATGCTTATGCCAGCCTGGTCTCTGCTTATCCACATTCCAGGCTCCCTGCCCAGATACATCAAGTTACTTTTCTTTCTCAAGAAGGGGCCAACTGATCCCTTCTTCATGTTTTAAGCTGTAGTCCAAAAAATATTAGTATTTCCTTGCATTTTTGCCGTTTGCGTCATTTTGAGGATGTGCAACAAATTTAAATTGGATTTTTCTGTCCACTTTCAGGTCTACTGACATTCAATTCAGTTAGGCTCATTTTATGGGTTTGCTGTGTGGGTATGGGTTTTGTTTGTTTTGATTTCCTTTGAGTTTTTTGGTTTGCTTTCCTGTTGTTGTCTGGGTTTTTTTTCTCAAATCATGAAATAAGGAAATGCTATGGAAAAACTACAACAAATTTTTTAAAACCTACAATGATCTCTCTTACACAAGTAAGATGCCCTGTGGATAAAAACAAGCTTTCTGATTATCAATCTGTTCTGCATAGTTCAGCTGTACTTTTTGGCGTAGAGACTACAAGAGCTTTTGTTTGAATGTGCAGAAGCTCAGGTTTCACTCACACTGACCATCACAGAGCCATTGTTTGTGAAACTGCTGTTGGTCCTGCCAAAACTGACAAAAGTGTTTAGGACAGAGCCAGCACCTGCTAATACAAATGCAAGACGTAAAAGCATGCTACAATTTCTGCAAAATTATTCAGTTTGTAGAATGTTTTTTTCTCAGTATGCTCCTAGATCTGCTAAAACATTTGAATGAGTTGTAGTCTATAATTCATCCAATAATACATTGATGGTGCTGCTCTTTTTTTCACAGCTTGTTTTTTAGTGTAAATTTTCTGTCCACATTCTTTAAAGGCTTGAAATATCTCTCTTCAATCTTTTTCAACTGTACGGCTGTTTGTTATCCCAATAATTTACTTGTTATGACTGAAAATGAATTTTGGATAATCCAAACACACATAAGACGTAATGAATTTACTGAATGTTCTGAATGATTTTTCTTAATGACTGCAACATGCTTTTTAATGTGGAAACACTCCGCCAACAAAAAAGTGCTTGCACTTTTGTGAAATGGCATTCACTGCAAAGCTGATTAAATGAATGGACACAAAAGCATAATGTGCTTGTTTATAAAGCTCACTGTCTTCTAATCAGAATTTGTTTTACTTTTTCCCAGAACCCTGGGTACAGAAAAGAAAATAATATTTCCCTGAAATTATTAAATGCTAGTCTTTTAGTAGTATGGGTTTACTAAGAATAAAATCATTAGTATGTGGGATTGAACCACTTCAAAAGATGGTCTGAGACCTAGGTGGGCAAGAGAGTCTATAAGGACTCATGTTTGCCTGCCTCTTGCAGGACATGGAGTCGGCTGTGTTTTGAACAGCTGCTCTTCCTGAGGTTACACTCTGATTAAAAGAGATATTTTCTTGTTAATCCATCCTGTGACGGAAGTGACAGCTAAAAATAAAGAAAAAAATAGCATAGAAAGCAATATGCTGGCCGGTTTTTTGTTAAGAATAGAAAGCAATGCTGTCAAGGGCTGAAAATAAATTCCTCTGTCAGAAATCTGCGAGTCAGGGTGGTTGTGTAATGGGACCAAAAGAGAAAGGACAGATTAGATTGAGGTTGCTGAATAATCACTTCTTTCAGAAAAATATAGTCTGATATCTGAAGATTTATTCAAGGAAAATATTTCTCTTGGACCTAGAAATGAATGTTGATATTCAGGTCTATACATCATCAAGTACCTGTGACTCAGAGCTAAAATCCGTTATTTGGGTTTATGAATGCTTTTCCTTGATCACTTTCATGAGATAATAAGTGTACTTAACACATCCAGATTACATATTTTTTGTGAGCTGGGGTTTATTTATTTTTTTATTATTTGTAACAGCACACAGAGACAAACCTGAAAAACAAGAAAAAATTGAGAGGAAGGAACCCCCAAAGGGTAAGTATTCAGCTTTTGGTATTCCTTGCCTTTTTATCAGTGATTCAAAATAGTCTAATCTATTGACTCTTAGACTGTTCTTGTAGATCCTAATAATATTTAAGGATGGAGGAGGTGTTGTGAAAGCCAGCTGGAAGGAGAATGAGGTTTTTAAAAACAATTCGAATTCATCACTGTACAGAAAACTGAAATTACATTCAGATATTAATTAATAAGTCTTTACCGTACTAGTAAGTTATGTAGAAAGTACCTAGAGCACAAATTGGTGTCCATTATATTCTTCTTGAATAAATCCAAGAATATTATTTGACCTTAAGAATTTTTTGCACCAAAATGTGATTTGTAAATTATAACATACTGGAAATGGTCCATGTAGACATTCTGCTTTGGAAAGCTTCTTAAAATAGAGACAAAAAGGAAAAAAAAAAGAAAAAAAAGGAAAAATTAATTCCTCCAGATTAATTTCAGAGACACTGGGGAGAGGTTTTAGAGAGAGTTTAATAATTTCCTGGTGGTGTATGCCAACAACAAACTACAGATCTGCTGTCAGAATGAAGATATTTCTTACTCTCCACCCACAACGTATGAGTTAGCTCTGGGTTACAACAGCCACCGTCCACTTTACTTTTTGTGAGGATATTTTAGCAAAATAGAATTTTGGTGGAGTGCACCTACTTGTCAAAACACTTAATTCTTCTGAGAATATGTCCTTTGCACTAACTTGTGGCTAATGAAGTCTTGGGCTGGAGGAAGAAAAATATTCTGGAAGAGAAAACAGGCCATAATGAATTACCAAAAAAAGAAAAGGGAAGACCAAATATTCAGCCACAGCAGACATATGCAGGCCAAGAACTCAAGTGAAGGTGAAACTCCTGAAAACTGTGCTTGACTAGGCCTTTCTAACAGTCTCTGATTGGAGCTTTTCCATTTCATATAAGTAATTCAAAGTGCCTCGAGCTAACAAGACTGATTTTAGAAGTTAATGGCAGGCATGTAAATTGAGGTGTCTCTTAGAATGAATATTTATTAGTAGAAAATAGAATGGTGATAACATGGAATATTTTTTCTGGGGTTTGGAAAAATGACAAAGCAAAAGCAATAATGTCCCATATTAAAACATGAATTTATCTTTAAGACTTCTGTTATAATGTGGAAAACCTGTGGAACTCTTCAACTTGATTTCACAGGAGAACAATATTTAATGTTTTATTAAGTTTCTTAGAACAAGAAAAAGATTATCCCAGCCAAGCTCAGATAGCCAGTGAAAAAAAAATTACAATTATACTGCCTTAGCTTGCCATAAATCCTATTAATATTCTTTCTACCTAGTGGTATTTTTTCTTGAAGTGAACTATTAGTTTCATTTAGTGAACTATTGCCAAAACTGCTATGGAAACACTACTGTGTGTAGAGATTCTCTATATTCACAGTGCTAATAAACATTATTTTCAGACTGTACATTAAATTTCAAAACTAAGACTATGAATGTGTGCCTTTCTAAGGTCCATTTCATTATAGTGTGACTGGGAGACTCTAGAGACTGCATCCCTGTACTTTTGCTGCTTATTTTCTACATTAAATACATTGCCTTTTCAAGATCGAGGTAACGGAGAATATAAATAGCATCCTATTCTAATCTATAATCAACTTCTGGGATGAAGTTTAAGAAAGTTATTTAATGACACAGACAGTAATTAGAAGTGTCTCAGTCACTTAGCAGTGTCTCAGTCAGAGATGTCAGCCATGTTCTCAAGTATTTTATCACTATATTGCTTAAAAATGTGGAAGCCTGAATATTGTCAACCACTCTTCTTTTGCATCCGGTTACATATGGAATTCATGGTACTGTAAAAGAAATTTCTTATCTCCTCATGTTAGACAAAAGGAGTTTTACTAAACTTGGATTAAATCTCCACAGGAATTAGACTTAAGCTAAACTTGAATTTTCACAGCTGTTCTTTCAGAAGTGCTCTAAAACCCACACGCTTATTTTTTGTTTTCTGGAACATTCTGGTGTAAAATCCTAAGAAAAGCAAGTGGAAAATGTTCTATGAATGAGTGGATAGCATAATGCAGTTTCCACTGTCATAATGTTGGTTTTACTTTACCCATACTGGATATCCAGTTATGGTTCTGGGATCGTCATTGCCAGGGACTGATCTCAGTTAGTGCCCATGACTTGCTATCTGTATCCATTACTGACCATCCATATACATTGCTGGTTATCCATTTCAAGCCAGCTGGCAAGTCACAGATGTATCATTTGCACATGTTCTGCTCCGAGATCGATTCCAGGGTTTTTACAACCTGAGTCTGACAGAGTGTGGGGTGGCCAAGGTGGACCCCTCTTCCTATCACAGGCAGCAGCATTTACTGTGAGCTGTGCCTTAGTAACCGACAGTTTTCTGGAATTCTTCTGGAACTGACAGACAATTGCAAGAGATGATGTTATGCAGCAAACAGCTGAGGCATGTTACCATGGCAGTAACTCGTTAGCCAGAGCTGGCTGCTCACACCCCTGCAGTATGATGTACACTGGAAAAATATGCACGGGGCAGCTTAGCAGTAACACACTCTGACACTTAGTATCCTAAGGCTTATCTTGGTGAAATTGTTTTAAATTCTTAAAATTCCCACTTTTTTTTCTTTCTTTTTTTTTTTTTTTTTTTTGGGTATATGTATATAACTCTTTGTTTCTTAGTGACAAGTAAAGACAAACTGGAAAGACAAGAAAAACCTGAAAAAAAGGAAAGGCATGCAGGTAATTATTTATTTTATAATAGGAGGTACCTTAAAGCTAATTTTCCACTCAATTTCCACTTATGTATCCCCTTGAATTGATAAAAAAGGGTTATGAAATATTATTAATAAAAAGAATGAAATAATAAAAAAGTTTGCAGTCTTACACACTAAGTAGCATATAATATTCCTTCTGCATGTTTTTTATTGGTTTGGGGTCTCTGGGGAAGGAGATAATATATTTTGTACTCTGGATTAGTGTAATCTTATGATAATCACTGAGTATTTCCAACACTTGCAATAAGAATGGTTGCTAAGAGACTATGGTCATCCAAGAAAAAGGCACCTGACAGCCCTTTCACAGAGGTAATCAGGAAGTCCATATGGAAAAAAAAGCATTTTAAATAAAATACTGTATAGGGCCATTGCATAGCCACTGAGTAGGCCAGGAGCAGCTCTTTCAGTAGTTACTTGCAGTAAATAGCTATCTAGCACTGTTTTATCTTCCCCAATTGTTACTGTCTTTTTAAACACCAGCTCCATGCTCATGCATACATTTTTGAGTTCCTAGGATAATCTCATACATTGTACTCAAATAGAGAACTGCGTGTTTTCCCACACACAATCCCTGTAGATCACCTGAGGGCACATCAGCCCATGCATATACCAGTTCTTCACATCCATGGACAAGTTACTGTGCACACATTGATCACAAAAATTTAGCAAATCACAACCCACACGAGAATATTTCAGATTACCCACTACTCAGTGACTACTGCACAACTCGGGTGTATTCTGAAACCTGAGCCAGAAATCTAGGAACTACAGAGCAGTTAATTTCAATTTGTAAGGTGGAAATTAAAAGCAAACAAAAAGCCCCAAAGAACATTAGTTATAATGTCACTGCAATTAGATTTGTAATTAATTATAGTGCTTAATCATTCATAGCTGAAAAACTGTTAGTTGTTCTGTGGAGTTCAGAAAATCCTTCAGAAACTAACCAAAGTAACAAACAAGAAAGCTAAAAAATAACCATAAACCAAAATAAAGCAATAAATTACAGGATATAAATATATTAAATAAATAAGTAAATAAATAACAATATAAATAAGTATGATTCTTCTTGACTATCTTCTTTCACGGGATAACTGGCCCTAGAAAGGCTGCTGCTCCTCCAGCCGATGGCAAAGACCTCAGTGATGCCAGATGAGTTTTTGAAAGTTCCAATTCCATGTTTTGGCATCAACAACAAACAGCAGCGGCTGAATCAATCTTTCTCATTCTTTGCATGCATGACTGTGGTGCCTACTTGTGTTTCTTTAACCTTTTTCTCATTCAAATGCAACTTTTTTTTTAATGACCATTAAGATTCTTGGTTTTTCTTCTAGCTGTTCACAAAGAGAAACCTGAAAAGCCAGAAAAACAAGAAAAGAAAGCACCATCTAAAGGTATGGAGGATCATTATTAAAAGTTGTACAATTTAGGGGCTTGAAATCCTGGGAGAGTGTGGAGATAAGTATTTAAAGTACAAAGCTCTTCTAGTTCATGTTGAACACTTTTTGGGTGTTGTCCCTTTTGCTTGAGCAGATCTTGATCAGCCCTAGTGAAGTGTTGCTCAGCATATTTTTTTTTCTGCTTTGCTCTCCTGTTTTGATGCATAGAGTTTATTGCAAATCATTCTTACACAGCTAAAGAACAAAACCTATGACTATTTTCTTTGCATTCCCTGATGTCTTTTTCTCCACAAAAAGACTCAGTAATTTGCCTGCAAAGAAGGTTTTCTCTTGTGTATTAGTTTTCAACCTGATACAGACCTAATGCAAGAGTATTTACTATCTCTCAATCTGGGTCTTCCATCATACCCAAAGATATAATTTCATTTTCTTGATTTTATTTTTTTTTTTCAATAACATTCTAGCTTCAGTATATGATTTACACAGTCTTCTATGGCAGCAGTGGCTTTGGTTAAGATTTACATATCTAATTACCATATATATTCTGAAGAAATATCATGGGTGTGTGAGGGGTGATTTTCACTATTCTTTTGACTGCTAATTCCATCTTTGGCTATGGTTTGGACAGGGAAATTTAAAAATCCAATCACCTTGCCCTATTATGCCATTTTTAAAGACTAACATTTATTATTGCTTGGCATTTGAATGTTTTCCTCTGAGGTTAGATATTTCTCCATGGCAGTTATTTCTATAATAAAGTTCAGTTTCAGTCTTTGTCTCTTTTTATTTTACTCAGTTGAGTCTTGAAGAAACAGTATGCAACATATATTAGTATCAGTTTGTTATGGCATTGAGATTAATCCCATGATGTTGAGATGCATTTATTAACTAGGTTTAATTTGAATATGTTCAGACAACATGGATACAAATATAAAAATCGCCCTTTTATTGAGATGACCATAGGAGAAATGCAAAATAGAAAGTAGAAGTAAAGAAAAAAAGAAAGAAAGGAAGCAGAATGAAGACTTAAAGCTCTGTGAAGGGTAGCTGTTGTCCAGTTCCTCTTTTACAGGCATATTGTTCATTTTTTTCTGCTTTCAGTGTATAGCTTGAAAGTGTGGGATTTTTTTTCATAAAATGAAATCATGCTGAAGTAAGCCAGAGAAAATAAATGCCCATAGTGTCTGTGTTGATTTGAAAAGCAAATAACTTCCAAGAATCACTGAGATAGTCCTAATAAGCAGCCAGCCTCTTTGCCATTTATCTTCTGCTAGCTAACCAAATAATCACTCAGAGCCTTAATGTGTTTAATAACAGCCATAACTCCAGTCACTGGCTGGAAAATTTTATGAAGAATTTGGACACTAGCTGCAGAGCTGTGTGGCTGCAGTGTGACATAGCCATGCTGCCCTCTCTTGGGTAGTTTCCCTGACGTGTGCCCCTGTGGCATCAGGGCCTGAGGACAGTTTTCCTCAGCATCTCCAAAGGTGGATGCTGACATTTTTGCCAGCACTGTGTTGCTGAGCTTTCCATTGCCAGGCCCACCTCAGAGGTCTGCTCTAAACTGGACTGATTAGCTACCAGCAGTGCTGAGGGGCTGCTTCAACTACTTGCAGTCCCTAGGAAATGAAATTGTTCAGGTTCTGGCCAGCTCTGGGGAATGGACACACTGAAAACTGTGTGGCAACTTCCCACACAGTCAGCAGGTTTTCTTCATTACAAAGACTCAAGGTAATTCTTCAGACTCTGATAAAGGCTCCAGAAAGCCTGGTGATATGAGTGCTTTTTAAAGCACATCATCTAAAAACATCTTAAAGAAATAAAACCAAGCCTAAATATCAATTATGTCTCATACAGGCTGGAATTCCAGGATGGAATTCTGTTAGAGAGGATTGCTATTATGTAGTTATCAGTTGAAAGAAGCATAATTAACTCTCAAGGCTGGTTTGTTCTGGTATTCTGTCTGGATGGTGACCAGGAGGGCAAAGATAGAGATCTGCATAAAATTTTGGCAGCCTTTCTGGAACACAGTCGTGTGTGTGTTTGTGTGTGTTTACACAGCGTATCTTATGCAGACATGAACTCACTCAAGCTGAGCTCTGAAGTGAACACCAGACTTATGGCTGTGTTTGTCGACAATGAGCCCAAGCTAAGAAAAACACCTTTGTGTAAGACAAATGCAGCCACATGGCTTCCTGTTCTCTGTAGCACAAGGCCAAGTCCATGTCTGCTCAGCACTCAACATGAGCAAGTTTGTTTCATCTGGAATATGTAGTAAAAACATTCCCTAGGAAGCTTCAGATCTGGGTGACTCACTTGTCTCCTGGTAAGGGCACCTCAACAGACATTTTGAAGTTTTTTACCCCACTATAAGAATCTGAAAACAATTTTGAAAACTGGAAACCAGGAATCATAAGGAAATGTGAAATTTCCAGTGATGATGTTGTGTTTTGGCAATACTTTCTTGTTCTTTGTGAGATTTTGTTGTTCTCATTTCTAGTAACTCAAAAAGATGCACCTGAAAGACATGAAAAAGCTGAAAAGAAACCTCCTCCAAAAGGTATTTATTTATCTAAACTACAGTTTGCTAAGCTGAATTGACATTGAAATGCATAAACTTTATTTTATTCAAGCAGAGATTGTAAATGTGCATGAGAAACCAGCTACATTAAACTAAAATGAAATTAATATATAATTAGAGTTAAAATGTCTGTAGAACACCCAGGGATTAATTCTATGCTTGATCCTCTTCAAAATCTGTTACAATTTCAAATTGAGAATAAAAGTATGAACCACCATTTCACTGAAAAACAACTAAGCCTACCTGCAAGTGATCTGACATACATTTTCACTATAACTAGTTAAGAAAATCAATTCTCCAATAGCCAGCAATACTTGGTTTTGTCTGGGAGCAGTAATGCTTTTTTATAAATGTCTGAATTCTGGCTTGCAATAGCTAGATATTCCAGTTTACACATTGATAAAATCAGTTTAGTTATCTCAGAAATAGAAGTCTAGAGCCTTACAGAAAACATAAATTTGGTAGCATACAAGTTTTGCCTCAAGGATGGAGACATTTAGATCTGTGAAGAAAACAGGAGAATGAACTTTGCACTAAACAGGTTAATTTAAAACATATCCAGTGGATGTTTATTCTACTACTGGATTTTCCACTGGGATGAACTAGAAACACACATACTGGGAACATACAGGTTTCTGGTGAGAAAATGTTGCTGACACAGAAAAGCAGAAAGAATGCTTTGGGTCTCACCAAGTTCTGTGTATCTTCAGCTACTGATATTTACAGTATCAATTTTAATTCTCCTTAGATGCCTCCTCACTCTGCTGAAGGGCATCTCATGGATGGTCTCAGACACTTTCAGCCCTGAGAACTGGTGTAGAGTCAGACTCAAAAACTCAAAACTTCTTGGACTGAGATCTAGAATCAATTCATGAAAACCACACACTATTTTGCCAGCTTACAACAGAGTTTAACTCTGAAATATAAACTTGTACAGATATTTGTTTGCTCCATGTTTGTTTGCTCAAGGACCAACATCTTTCTCCCTAGTTTATACCATTAGAACTCTCATATTAGGAACACTTACTTAATATTATTTCGTATATCCTATTATATTTAGCATCAGCTAAGTACGTGGTATAGCATTGAAGATAAAACCTCTTTGGATCTCATATTTCTGTTTAATTCTGCCTGGTTTGAGGGGATTATAGTTTTCATCAGATCTTACCAAGCGGATAATAATGAAGAAATGCTCATTATTAATAGTGAATTATAAAGTAAATGGCACTGAGTGTTATGTTGGGGGCAGAGAATGACACTGAAATCTTATTCTTTATTACCTACAGAGGAGAAGAAAGTAAAGAGCACTAAAGTGGAAGCAAAAGTTAAAAAGGAAGTGAAGGATGGAAAAGGAGAAGCAAAGACAACGACAGAGAAGGTCAAGCAGGCAGAGACAAAAACAACAGAAACTGGGCTAATAAAGGCCAAAACGAAAGTTAAGGAGGAGAAAGCTCTTCAGACTGTAACTAAATCGGACAAGAAAGGTAAACAAAATGAGGAGGAACCAGATGAAGATCCTAAAAAGGTATTAGGGAAGAAAGAGAGAGAATGGAGTTAAATCTGTCAAGGACCAAAGTGCACCCATGAAAAAAAAAGTGCAGTACAAATATATTCCACATGAACCTCACAGTGCTAGGATGTGATTACAGAAAATAAAATAATTTAATGTATATAATCAGAAGGTTCTAGAAGTTTGTCATGGCTAAAGTTTCATTTTAATTTAAATTCTTCTTTACCAAGGACCAATTTCTCTTCAGATAGATCTGACACTTTGCGGACTTGCTCAGTAGCATCTAATGTAGTAGATTGCAACCAGAGTTATTTTGGAAATTCAGACTGTCCAATAACCTATTGGGAATTTAGGTTTGTTTCTACATCTGTGTATGTCCTCTGTAACCATAATGAAAGTAGCAACAGTGTAAAGGGAATGTAATAATTTATCTAACATCCTATTGTACGAGGCAGTCAGGTTGTCAGGTATTGTACAACATAGTGACATACCTGCCTGATATAACTTAATGTGAACAGCTTCCAAATTTCTTCTGAAAAGGAAAGAAATATTATTCTAGTGTGAGGAAGAAATTAAGTCATGAAACCAAGAATCAACGTGCATTGAAAACATATAGTTAACAAGGTGTTAACTATGTGCTCCACTTTGTCAGAGTAAGCCTGGGTTCTTTTACTCCCAGGTTGCACAGACTGGTTCCCTGATTTCCCTGTGGCATTGCCATGGCACTAAGTATAATTCTGTATGAATGGAGGCAGCAGGACCTGGCTTTCTGTATGAACTGCCACACTGCAGCCACGGGATTATTCTGACATTGAAAGAGGCAGCTCAGTGTTGCATAGTGCACCTATCTGATCCTTTCAGCTGTTAACCACAGATAAATTGCTGTGCCTGAGCATCAAAGAAGCTGTCCCTGCCTGGATATCTGAGTCTGCCTGATCAGATTCTCTCAGACTTTCATAACCATTGCTCTGGTCCCCTTAGGATTTGCTTAAATCATACTTTTCTAGAAAACTGAGAGTTTGAGACATAACCCACTTTCTGACATACATAGTGCAATGAACTAGTATTTTTTAACATTTATTTGTATTCCAGTTAATTTTGTCCTCAACTTGAAATATTGGGACCTTTGAGGCATGGAATCAAAGCAGCATCTATCACACTGATTGCTGTGACCAAGGACAAAGTTCAGCAAATCTTTCAGTTCACTTGGGAGGTGAAAATCTCTTTCAATTTTTTGTTTGCTCTGGCAGAGTTTCAGTGCACAGTGGGGTCTGCTCCATACTGTTCAGGATAAAGCCCTCAAAAAGAAATGCTGTGCAAATGACAACAAAATATTTTAAGTAGGGATCAAAGCTTACAGAGACCAATAGAATAATGGGGTTTTTTTTGTTTGTTGGGGTTTTGGTTTTTGTGGGATTCCCAACAATTTAAGCTGATAAATATTAGCCAAATGATCCATCTCGACATCAAACATTAACAGATCACTTTGCAAGTCTGCTTTAGAGTGTGACCCAGCAACTGTGCATGGAATCCCAGCAGGTGAAAATGAGAATAAGCAGATGGAGTGGAGGAAGGAAGGAGCCTCTTCAACTGCCTTTATATCTGGAAACAGAGTTACGCATATCTGGTGAAAGCTGCATTTCCTACTGTTGTGCTTTCTTTTACCACCATAAACCCTTGCTGCCCAGCTGGATACTACAAAAAAATTCATTTTTAGAATTTTTAGATTTCAGTCCCACTGTGACCCAAGGTGAACATAATTTTAAAATCAAGGCAGTTTTGAAGAGATTTCCTGATCCTGCAATCTTTACTTTTACTTGCTCAAGGGAATAGCTCTGCCAACTTATCTGAAACAATATAAAAAATATAGCAGTGATCACAAAAGAGTTGTTGCATCCTTTCATACTGAAATTAAAATTTAAAAAGACAGGTCATCTTTCTGGGTAAATCACATTAAGTCCAATGACAAAAACATCTATGGGTATTTTTATCATTAAGAATCTAGTCCAAAATTTTGATGTCATCTTTTAGTACTTATATGAATATTTGTTCCATTATTACAGAGTTATAGGTGAAAACTAAAGTGTGAAATTCTCCTTTTAATAAGGGACTTTAGATTAAAATGGAGTTTTAGCCATGAAGAGGCACTTGAAAAATCATATTCATTTAAAATTCCTTAGTTTTCAATCTTTACTGATTGGTAGCATTCCCATGAACTTAAATAGGATGTTATAGTGCACCTTGCTATGCCATATGGAAGTTATATTTTTCTTATTGAGAGTTTTGCATTCTGCCTTCATTTTCTTTTATACATCTCATTTTTTTTAAGTAGAGTTGCTCAAGATATTGGGACAAATTAAGACAGAGCTTGTGCTCTGCCCTGGGTCTGTCCATGTAGTGTGTTGTCCCCTGCCGTAGTTTTATTCCATATCCTCTAGCAGTCTATTGTACAATGCCCCTGATGGAAATCTTCTCAACAGGCAGCAAGGAATAGGGGCAGGTTGTTTTGGCAAAAGAAAACTAAGAAAGGAAGGTTTTTGTGCAAGAACTGTGCCCTGCCATTTGCATTCTGGGCTAAAGTGTTGGCATTGCTCCATTTTATTTATAAATACTTTCTGAGGCGCTATTGCAACGGTGTCAAACTCAGTGCAAACATTTTGCTGGTTTCAGTAGCTTTAGGTGGGTTTGAGAAAACAGATCTGTATGTGTTTTCTCAAACACGTTTTTGGGGTTTTTTTTTTTAGAATTATCATATAGACTTAGGGCAGATACTGTAGCCTTAAGGAAGGAATGCAAAGTTGGAGTCAGCCAGAATGATAAATTTGAATTCCCAAATATAAAAGTAAAAATTGTTATGAATATTCATTAGAGGTTTTAAAGGCAATGTTTACAGCCACAGCCCTGAGTACATACTGAAAGTTTTGCCCCAGGCTCTACAATCCTTACTAGTATGGCCCTTGCCATCTCACTAACACAAAATAGCTGCCTAGGCTTCTATTAAGTAGAAAAAATGTTTGGATATTTGTTGATTTGGTAAACCTTTTCCTAATTTCTACATCTGCATAGGAAATAATGACTTGAAAGCAATAGCTCTTCATCCAAGGACTGCTGTATCAGTCAACATAAGAGAGCAGCAATCACACAAGTGCCTCAGCATCAAATGATACTGATGTAGCAGTGACCTATGTCTCAAAGTCAATAATATAACAAGTGTCACATACTTGGGATTTACAGTTTGCATTTAAATGCAAGAGCAACGCCATTTTTAAAACTTTAATTAGTCCAAAGCCACATAATTTCATTTTGGAGTTGGCAACGGGGAAAGCAAGTGGCTTTGTAAAGGAGTAGGACAGATATCACAGGAGGTGGAGAGAGGAAGAGATGGAACTTCTACAGTGTAAGACCTGTGCCAGAAGAGTCTTGGACACATGGATGAATACGCTTCACTCAAGGACAACTGAGAACTGACTTAGCTAACCACACCTGGCATTTAGGCATCAACATTAGCTTTCAAAGCAAAGGCCCATTAGAGTCCACTGGGGCAACATGATTTTTTTTCTGACCTGCTGAAGAATACAGCAATATTGAAATTCTTTTGTGCTCAGTTAAAACTGATAACTTTTCCTCACCATTCTTAAAGTTAGAAAATTTTATTAAGCTCTCCAGCTCTGCTTATGTACAAGAGAAATCAATAGACAATCAACACTTCTGCAATCAGCATTTTATTTAGACTCAGAAGCCTTAATATATATATATATACATATATATATATACACACACACACACATACACACACAAATTTAATATATACATATGTATTTGTAAAAATTAGTGTTTGGAGAATTATTCTGTAGTGAAACAGTAGAATTCTGTGGATAATCTTGTTGCTATAGGAGTGTAGGTACACAAAGTTCTCTTTATATGACCATTCACTAAATATACATATTTATTATATGGGTAAAAATATATTAATAAAACACAGCAATACAAAACCTTTTTTAAAAATTTTCTGTTAGCACTCTGTGAAATTGATCTTCATGGATGATGAAAATTCCATGAGACCTGTGGCCAGGCAGCATTTTGCACTGTACTTGTGTAAGGGGTTAGGATATATGCCAAGAAAAGCTGGCCCAGCAAAAGAAGTGATAGCTCTGGGACACTGGAAGCTCTGCACTTCTTGGATAGAGGTTTTGAATTACATCTGGACAACAAATTGACACTTTCTAAACATGTGCACCACTTGAAGGTCAGGAAAAAAACCACAAATACATAATAAGTAATACTTCTACGAAAAGGCTAGTGAGATGTCTTTGCACTGCTAAACTTTATCTTCACTGTTAAGTACAAATGGCATTCTAAATTTATTTTCTTCATTACTCTTCTTTTCCTTTTTGCTCTGTTAGATCAATATGCGTTCTGTCGCTATGTGATTGACATGTTTGCACAAGGGGATTTTTATCCAGGTATTTTTCCTATATCATTGAACTCTGTTCTAATATTCTGTTTCCCTGCAAGTTTTTGCTCCTTCATGTATTAAAAGTGTGGTTTTTTATTATTGAAAGGTCTCACAAGAGCAACAAAGAGTGTGCAAATAGTTTTAATAAAGCATAAGAGCTAATGGCTGTTTTCTTAAAGCTTCTAATTTTCTGCCTACAATGCATGAATTAAAATCAAGGTTATGTTAAAAGTAGAGTCAATGGAAGGCTGTAGAAATTGCTGAAATTTTCCATGCTTCTTTTGACTGAGATACAAGAGAAAGGAGCTTATTTTTAATAGCTTATTATTTGGTTTATTAGGTTTTTTTCTCCACAAATAGCAAGGCTTAATTCCAAAATGTTTCAAAAATAGAACTTCCATTGTTGTTAGTATTTAAAATACCTTAGCTGATCCACCACTTCTGTGCTTTATCTTCTCTCTTCTCACATCTCCATGCTAATCTGTTCTAACACAGACACTTAATTCCTCACCAAAAAAAGAAGATAGAGCTACTGATGATGACTTAGCATCATCTCATAATATTAAGTCAGTCGACCCTGACCTTATTTAATAAATACTCTTCCTGCTGAAGTCTAGACATACTGTAAAGAGACATAACCCTAGGAATGAAAAGCAATAATATTCATGAAAAGAGTCAAGGAGAGAATATTTAAGGACACTCTAAACCTTACCAGCTTTTTGTGTTCAGTTATTTGCTTGACAAGCTCTCCACTGGTACATCCCTGAATTGGTTGGGTCTTTTTCTCATCTCTACCTTGTGCCTTACATCCTCTCTTGACATGCCCAGGCTCAGACAGAGCTGGTAAATCCTAAGGCTGTAGCTGAGAAACTCTCACAAAGGGGGGAGAGAGAGAGGATGCAGATTTTTGTGGAGAGAAAATGAACAAGCTTGGGATTCAGTAGGGAGAGGGTTCCATTAAAAGAGGGCAAAATACTGCATTTCCTCTAGGACCTCTAAAGTTATAAACAGAGGGACTGCTTTAGGCTCAGAGGGGGAGAATGATTAGGCAAAACTTCCAGAGACTCAATCATGCTTTGATTTAAAAAATAACACCCTGTACCAATGTGAATGACCTAGTTTCTGGATTTACACAGCTGTACCATCAACAATTCATATAAGAAATACTTTCATGGAGATCTTCAAGATCTTTTTTACAGTTCTCCTGACATTTACAAGCAGCTTCAAAAAAGCCCTTTTTTCCCAGAAGGCTCCCTGGCCTGTTTGACCCTCTCCTGAGGCAAAGCAGACATGCTGTAGGAAGGGACAGCTTGGGTTTTTTTCAGTTTTGACTTTTCCAGATACAAGACAACTGGGAAATCCATGAAGGGGAGCAGTGAAATAGAGAATGAAGACTGTAGTGACTTGAATTTCAGAAGATAAAAGACATGACTCTTCTCTTCCAGTTTGTCTTGTGTCATACCAGTGTACTATGACAGACTTGTAGTAAGAAACCACAGGTTAAAGAGCTGAAAGACATTAAATGGACATAGGGTGATCAGATGGCCTTGCAAGTGAATGTAAAACTAGGGTGATAGGTTTAGGCTTCAAAAAGTGGAAATGAGTCTTAAAGTATCTTTAATAATCTAATTTTATGTCAAGTGGAAAAGGACTACCTTTAACATCTCCCAAAGTCCACCTGGGGCTCCACCTGTAAAGTGACTGCTTTTTGACCTCTCAAGTCACTTGTTGAGCCCTGAAGTTAAATGTTGTGGATGGTTGTTGTGCTGAAGCCAAATGCATTTTTGTGGGAGGGAAAAAAATAAAAGAAAAGCATTACCTTGAAAACAAGCTTTATTCAACCCACCAGCTGTGAAAAGCAATGCTGGAACAGCCAGACTCCAGAAACACTACCCACTGTTTCTGAGAAGCAAAGTAGAGGTCAGGTATGATCAGCCTTGATTTATGGAAATCATTGAGAGGAGTGCCACCAAACAGTACTCGATTAGTTTGTTACTGTCTTTCTCAGGCAAAGTGCTCATTTTACAGTGTCCTTTTGTGAACAGAGGTATTACTGTAATTCATTTTACTGAATAAATAAATGTGGGGAAAACACCCTTTAATACCCCTAATATCCAATTAGATTTACAAACTGGCATATTTTATCCTTTTATCTGTCTATATATTTTATGGTAAGGAACTTTGTCAAAACAAAGATTTCTGAGCACAAATCAGCTGAGGAATTAAATTACAGTCACCTTGATGCTGCGATTCTTTCAACCAAGGAATAATTTCTACCAATCACAACATTACCATTTGTGAAGGAGAAAAAAAATTTTTCATAGAAAATTCCTTTGCATAGACATATTGGGATTTTCTGTGATTGATTTCATCAAACATGAATTTCCGATTCTTTAGGCAAAATATATAATATCACTATTAGTAATATTATTCAGCATTTTTTCTTACAAAGAACTTTTGCAATGTTTCTATTATTAAAAAATCATACATTACTATAAGATTTGGGGTTTTTTTAATATAAATATTAAGCATGAATTTATAGAAAAGTAGTTCACTTAATATGGCACTTTATAGTGCTCAAACAATTAACATTACAAGTAAAACTCAGTTCCTTAGGTTTCATTAATAAATACACTTCTTAAAATAGATCAAATAATGCATTTTGTCAGTCACATCAATCCGTAGGAGGTAAGAGTTAATGCTCTTATGTTGATTTTAACAAATGAAGCTGAAATATTTGTCACTTGTTCAAAGTTTCATCATGACAATGCAGTCTCAGCTATAAAAAATGAATTAAATATACACAGGGAATTCAAGGAAGCCATATAAGGAAGAATTTTTGCCAAGATGCTTCATGCAGCATTAGCTGGTTTTCTTGTTTTGCTGGTTAGTATTTGTCCTTGATACTGACAAATTTCATAGATGTCTTCCTTTAAACCACAGTAATTATATCAATATCAAATAAATTCTAAGAGATATTTTATTTTTTATGAAAGAGAAGTATTTGAAGTTCTCAGCACTTTGCAATGATAACAGTGGAGTTTTAGCCACAAACTCATTTTTTCTAATCCAGAAGTTCTTCACATGAATATCATGATTGCAACAGTGACCAGTTGGGTTCTACTGATACATTTAAAGTTGGACCACTTGAGGACTACTACACGTAGTATAAAAAAACTGCTTTCTGATTTTATGTCTTGAGAAATGGGCTTTAAAAATATTTTTTACCTTCTGTCTAACATGCTCATGATAAGTGACAATATCTCAGAGGAACTGCTGAACTACCTTTCTTATATTTTCTGGTCCCTGCTCTACAGTTGCTCAGCTGAGGCAGTGCTGTCTCAGCATTAACAGATCACGCTGCCCAAACTGTTTTGTACTCCTTTTGTCTGCCTGTAGAGAAAGAATTAATATGCATTTCTTTCAGGATTAGTTTTCCAAGTTTTCCTTATAAGGATTAAGACCTTAGGTGGAAAGCTTGGTTATTTAAAAACATTAGTTCTGACTGGTATCTTTATTTTTCTACTGGCATTTCTTAAGTCCAAGATAGCATTTTTGATGCAGAAGGTCACTGACATATAGTTTAATGGATATAGTCTATTCCACGTATTTGATAATTTGTTTTATATTCCTGTATTTTGTTCTATTCCTAATGTTCTTATTCATAATTTATTTTTTATTGGTAGGAGAAAGGCTTCTATTCTAGGAGAAATTTTAAAACTTGTTTTCATAACTATTTTTTTGATATTAGAGAGTTTGAAATCCTCACCCATGTGGAGGGATTTCAGGCACACTAATTGGTCACTCTTTCAGCATGGAGCACATGATTCTCTAAGTTAACTGGACCTACTCTATTTATTCCCCTTGTGCCATAAGTCTGTTTCCTACTCTTCCCCTGCTTTCCCTGCAATGCTTGCCAGTCACTGATCTGGCAGATCAAGGAGCTGTTCTGATGAAATGCTTTTTTTTGTTTTGCAACTACTGAAACTGGATTCTTGCATGTCTGTGTTTCTGCATGGCACTTCAGCATGTTGTTGTGCATGCTGAATTAACAGTGATAAGTATGACAGGTATTTAGTCATGAGATGCACTTTTTTTTTCTCACAGGCATTTTATTTATCTTGTGATGTGAATTTGTTTTCTTTTTAATCACTTAGAAGTCTATTTTGCATGCATACCTTTACTCTGTTCTGGTTCTGGTTAAACCACTTTCATTTCACAGTACACCCAACTCATTACTGGATGATCTTTACAGTTGCTTAATTTGTGACAAAAATAGTGAGAACACAGATGTGGTATTATTCACAATTTAGACTTTCTAAAACCTTAGCACTGAAGCACATGATTGCCCTGTAGGGCTTGTATCACTACATAGCTGTTTCCAGTAACAGCTAGACTGCAAAGGAATGTGGCCATATCAATTCCTTTCATCAATGTACCCTTATGTTTACTGTGTACTTCCATGCCAGGGTCTCAAAGCCAGTCCCAAAGCCAATATGAAGGCCAATGTGTTGTAGACAATTTTACTTACCTTGAAAAAATATATGACTTGGAGAAATTCACCAGGATTTCTGGCATGTGTACATTGCAAGAGGGTAAAACACAGGGTAAAACAGTCATCCCACCTTCTCATTAAAATAATCGTTGAAGCCTCACCTTTTGCACTTATGCTCATAAACACCACTCCCCTGCACCCCTACCCCCTCCCCCCACCCCCCAAACAAACATGAAGAGTCAAGAAATTAAGGCAAGTTATGATGAGTATCCATGGGGAATCTTGCAGACTGCTTGGTCCTGGAAAGTGTAGACTGAAAATCCCTCATGTCTACAATTTTCTTCCAAGGCTTACCTCTTCCTGATTGTCAAGAAATATTCTGTCAAAGAGAAGGGGGTATTGCTATTACACAATATGGCAAGAGAATTTCAAGACTATCATTATGATATCTATTATACTTATCATTATGATGATATCCAAAAAATATGGAGATACTGATGTGAAGGTACGTCAATATTGAAAGATCATGCTCTATATTGCTGTGGAAAAAAATACCTAGAACAATAAAGACTACTTTAGAAAGTAAAAATGCCTGCATTTGCTCTGGGTGGGCTGTAGCACTGGAACTAAATACTTGCCCTCTGCTGTTCAGATAGCAAAACGCTTTAGGCTCTTGAACTATTTTTAAGTGTCACTCCTACTTGATTAGACTAGGATGTGTTATGGATATCTCAGTGACAGGGAGTGACATTTCAGCTTGTTACGTTACATTTACATGGAGACAACTTTGATATAGTTTCCCTGGGGATATATTTAATGTAGTGCAATTAGAAAAAGAAATAAAAATCAGTCATAATAAATAAGAAAGCATATTATTAGATTGCTGTTTGGAGATATTCAGCATGAAAGACTTTCAACTGAGTTATGGGCTTTCACATTTCAGAGTAAATGATAAAGGAATATTATTTTTTTCCTATGGAGAGATGCTTTCTGGTGCAAGCTACTCAATAGCCCTGTCCCCAGTAGGAGAAAAAAAGCAAGCCAGATGTTTTTTAACTCTTTACTTTTTTACTGCCTGCTGAGGAAAATATTGTACTCCAAAATTTGAAAAGATTCATAAAGATTCATCTGGATTCTTCTTTTTATCCATCAATTTATAAAAAAAAAAAATTGTTCACATGATGAAACCCTTGCCAACCCATTTGTTTCTATGGATGGCATAAATGGCCATGATTGAATGAAAGAACTATTTATTTCTCTAGTAATATCCTGGGAGAGTTTTCAATATTTTTCAAAGACTTTGAAAGGAAAGAATTAATGAACAGTAATTTTAAACACATGTATGAGAAACTAAAAATTAAGTTTTAGTTATTTAAAAGTATTCTAACTTATTTATTAATGTGCAATTCTTACAATAAACATTATCTGTCATTTATAGTTAAATATTCCTTCTTTAAACTTCTATTCAGCTATGAGAAACTATGAGAGGATATCCACTATGGGAGGATATCCACTATAAGAGGATATCCAGTCATTTTAACAAGACTCTTGCCCCCAACCCACCCCAAAAACTGTCTATTTTGTCAAACCCTGAAATGACATTGATCTCTCAAAGGGGATGTTATCAGCATGCAATCCTGACACCATCCCACAGAGGCAAAACAACTACCCATTATTCCCAGTTTATATCATCCCACTGTGAATCAGAGCCAGATGCTGGCACATGAAGCTGCATCTGTCAACACTCTTGTGGCACTTCATTGTAACTTGGCCAAAAAATTTCAAACTACTCACTCTCTTGGAAACAGCTACAAAGGGAATGTGAGGTATTCTGCTTCTGCAGAAAGGAATGGATGTCTTTCTTTGATAGTTCACTGCAAGGCATTCTGAGGGTCAAAACTGAGAGGTACAAGAGAAAGCCACAAACCTCTGCTGATGAAAATTAGTCTAAATCTTCGATTTTAATGGAAAGAAACCAATTTAAGCTGTGAAGGCAGAGAAATGAGAGTAACCAAATTATTCTCACAATTGCATTACATTTATTGCTACTATTTAGTATTTAAAACATTTCACATAGTTCAGTAAGCAAGCTTCAAATGAAGGTTGATTTCAATTGAGGATCATAAAAAGACTCAACTACTTGAATTTTGAAAAGTAAGCTATTTAGAAAATAAAGGCAAAAGTTGAATGCCAAAACACCCCTTCTAAACTGCTAATAGTAAACAAATAGTTTCCTATTTAAAATGTAAAAATAAGTTTAGCAAGGGACTTTGTAAAATAGTAATTGAGTTTAATGACTCATTGTCATCATTGATTTCCAGTTAGAATTATTATAGCAGATACTGATGATACTGATGGTTTTTTAACTTACAAAAAGTAAGTTAAAAATGGAAGCATTCCACAGGCAGCTTGAAGTAGCCTCAAAGTCGCAGGCACAGATTCTTGGGAGGAAATGTAACTATCCTGATATCTACTGGAGAAGTAACACAATGAGGCACAAACAGTCCAGGAAGCTCCTGTAAATTGATGGCAGCTTCCTGACAGAGGCAGTGGAGGATCTCACAAGGAATGTTTGCCTCATAGTGACAAACAGGGAAGGCCTTATCAGAGATGTGAAGGTTGGAGGTTCTGCCTTGGCCATAGTGACCGTGAGATTGTGGAGTTCAGCAATGAGCAAGGAAGAAGCAGGGCAGCAAGGAAGATTGCAACCATGGATTTCAGGACAGATGACTTTAGCCACTTTAGGTATCTTCCTGAAAGAATCCCATGGCAAGAGACCCCATAGGAAGAGAGGTCCAAGAGACCTGGCTGAAATTTAAGGATCACTTCCTCCAGGCTCAAGAATGATGCACCCCAATGAACTAGAAACCAAAGAGGGCAAGAGACTTGCATGGATGAACAAGGAACTCCTGTCATTATTCAAGTGTAAGCAGGAAATACACAGGAGATGGAAGCAGGGTCATGCCACTTGGAATGAATACAGGAAGGTTGTCAGAGTAAGCTGAAGGCAACGCTCCATTACAGAGTTGCTTAAACTAATCAAGATGTCCAACGGCATCTTAAATGCCAACCATTTCAGTAAAGCAGGAATCCTACATGTGTTGCAAGTGAACATTTGTCTTTGATGAAATGTGATAACCCACAATCTTCTCCTTCAGTCAGTTTTATACTCTCAGGTTATATAACTAAAAATATAAGTGAGCTAATGAATCTGTTACCTTCAGAATGTAATTCTGAAAAATCTTGGGGAAGTTAGCCACCATACATTGAATCTCTCTCAACTTTATTTTTTTGTTTTAACTGGATATTTCATATTGTGAAAAAAAAAGCATTTATGCCAACTCCCGATATTTATGTTGATTATGCTAAGGGTCACTGTATATACCAATTTATTAAAGGTTATTCGGGAAGAGAGAGAAAGACTGAATATGTATTTTCATTTTATAATCTGCCTTTACAGTCCTTTTGTACTATACAATACCTATAATAACCCATCATTACCACACAATAACCCATAATTGCCACTGTCCTGGTACTTAGTTGTTTGAGATCCATCTTTTGATATTTCTAGACATAACATGCAGGTTTATTTTTACCTGCTAACTGCCCGTGATAAATAATGTGAGGAAGTGGAGGCAGGAAATTCAATTTTCAATTTTTCAAATCAATTTTATTTTAATGTCAGGAAAGGCTGTGTGAATTCTTAACATATAATTACAATACTGTTAATGCTTTTCTCTTAACTCCTTAATGACTTCAGTCTTCTGAACACAAAAATTAGAAGTTTACACTAATATGGATTGAACTAAAGAGGAATTTTTGGTAAAAAAATCTGTGTAACGGAGTTCTCACAGATATACTGTTGTAAATAGATTAAACTGAAAGCTCTGTCATGCACATAAAATACATTGCATACATTTCTGCACTGACAGTATCCGCTTTAAGTTAAAACAGAAAAAAAACCCCAAAACGCCAATAGCTCAACCCACACCTCTCTTGCCTGCCTCATATGTACTCTTGTTATGCACACTTGCATTGCGTGAGATACAAATGCATAGGGAAAAAAAATACATCAAACAAATTCCCAGCTGCGACTTTAATTGGATTTGGTGTCTGAGTGAAAACACAGCAATTGATGTTCACACAACCTCCAGGAGTCTGCAACAATGATTCTCACACCTGTTTAATTGCCAAATCAAGTATTTTCTGTTCAGAAACATCACTAAACCATGGTAAGAATTTGGAAATAGATGATCTTCAAGGTCAATTTGAGCCCTAACCTTTCTCTCATTCATTCAAAATAGATATTGATATGATTTATATGTTCATTCATGCACAGGTATATAGGACATTTTCTATTATTACTACATAGAAACATATGTAGGAATTCATTATCAGCCATAAGGGATGAACTCAAGTCTTTGTGCATTAAAAATAGAAGCCTATCAAGTTGCTGCTACTTATTTTTTGGTGCCTTGGGAAGAGAAATGTAATCCTTCCCCTTACTCCCTTTCAAAAGAGCATTAAGAATATCAGTCTGCATCCTTCCTTCCTACACCCTCACTTTTAACCTACTGGTCCTTGCTTTCAGCTTAATAGATGGATGGACTCCCAAGGTTGTTGGGTTATTTGTATAGGTCTGGTCTCATTGCCCGTGTGTTGAGGGAGTATCTCACAATAAACTGCTTTACTCTAAGTTAGACTCTGTAGAGGTCCAAAATTACTTGTGTTATTGTTAATGGATTTCAAATATATAGATACAGTAGCACATAGCTTGATAGACAGATTTGTCATTACCCATGTAATCTCTCCTTTACTTCTTATGCATCATAAAAGAAACTGGCTGATAGTGAATGGGACAATACTAAAATGTAGAAGATTGCATTGCTACTGGTAATCACTACATATACTGTGGCATAGGTTTTTCTTAAGTAATATAATCAACCTTATGCAAAATCAGTTTCACTTTATATTGGGCAATTAACCATTTAATAAAGAGCCACCTCCTGAGTGCAATTAAAAAACTGAAATATATGTTGGCTACTAAAATACACTTTCTTAAAAATCTCATTTTATTATACGTTAATTCCATCCTCCCCTGACAAAAATTTTGTTCCAAATAGGTCATTAAAATCTTGTTTAGTATTTTTTCCCCATTTGATGTAATTTTGTTATGTGGCCACATCTAGATTATTAAATCAAACTCAACTCAACTGTTCTCTCTCTGAATGTGATTTTTTCTCATAGAGAGATCCACATCCAGTACACTTCCTCAAGGTCAAATGGGGTTGCATGTATCTCAGCTATCTATTGGGAGCGGTCCCTGGCCCCTGCCAATTCCTGAACTGAGCCAATGAATTTTTTGAGACACTGCTGCTTGGCACAAGTCAAAGTTGTCAGAGGCTATCCAAAAACAAGTTGCAGGATATGTATTTCTGAATTCCAGAGTCCAGCAATGTTCCCAGGCCCCATTTAATTGCCAGTGTGCATGAAATCTTTGTGTCACGGTGTGTTCCTTAGGAAAGAATGCCTATATGGGACATCAGCATTTTATTTCAAGTAATACATTCCAGAAAATGAGCATTTGCATTGTTCAATACAGTTACATAATCTCACCTCTTGATCCTCAGCTGTTCATTCTTAGTCAAAAAACAGTTTGCTCCTTTCATGCACACATAATAAGCAGAGAAACCTTCCTCCAGAAAGTCAGAGCCTAATGTCTGGAGAGTAATGACTGAAAGCTGGGGAGAGACTCACCTTTAACTTGTAGCAACTTACACTTCAGAACAGGAAGCCTGGACAAAAGGGTTGGGCTCCATTACATTTTCAGTCCTCTAAAAGCATATTTGGCAGTGTTGCCTCATTCTGCTGATCCATGCCTTGTTCCAACATTCATTAAGCATTTGATTGGAATTTGCTTTTCATAACAAATGACTCTGCAAAGACAATTACTTTATTTGAATTATTTTTACCATCACTAGAGAATTATGTCATATCTGAGCAGAATGAGATTTATCTGAAGACATTTTGCTGCACAGAGAAACTGTAACAAAGTATTGATGCTGTTGGACCACAGGATTCCTGCTGTTCAAGGAACTAGTATATGGATATGAGGAAATGAGCAGTCATAGGAATAGTATTTCCAAATATTGCACTCTGTGATGGCATTATTTCTCTCCATATCCAATTGGAATATTCACCAGGATGAAATGCGGTACTAATAATAATAACAATAATAATAATATAATAATAATAATAATTAATAATAATAATAATAATAATAATTTTATTATTATTATTTTATATTTTTAATTAGAAATATATATTTAGACACTTTATTAAGGTTGCTGCCAACAAGCTGAACTCAGAAGATCAAGAAGGAAGGAAAACTCACATAATTTGATATTATCATAAATCAATTTATACTCAGTATTTAAATATGACATTTTTGACACACATAAAAAGACATTTCCTAGATTGAGAAACATAAGTTAATTAAAGTTTTTCTTGTATTCTTTATCATGCAATAAAAAATCTAAAATATTAATAAACTAAGTCAGGAGTAATTTCTTCAAGACATCTCAAGCAATTTGATAAACACTGATGACAGAAGTTTCCCAGAGCTTGAGGACTGTAGCTGATTTTCAATGAAGTATTCGTGTTACCTTGTTAGAGTCCTAAACCTTCTACTCATCCTTGCAGCCTATTTTTTTCCTTTCAGGCTGTGGAGGAAGGTACTCGTGTCTTAATGTGACACTTTTTCTCCTGGTGAGATCACTCCCATGAGCTTAAATCCAAGAATAGAAAGACTGTTTCACTCTTTCAGTTTTCATCAGATGTAATTTGTTGTCAGCTTTTTACAATACCATATATGAAGGAGATACCTAAAGCACAACTGCATGGACAGTTGACAAATGGAAATGTTGTGGATCAGCTCTAGGGACAGACTGGCATAGAAATGCATGGACATTTTTGTGCTTGCAATTACATCTTTTGGAGAAATCAAAGTTTTTTGGTTTTGGGGGTTTTTTTTAAGCAGCTTAAATAAACCTTGGTGGCTTATCTTGTAGCAGTAAAATGAAGGCTATGTTGGAAATGAGAAGAAAATAACTATGCAGTGCTTTTTTGTGGCTGCATTTTTAAAGCTGTGAGATAAGTGTATGTCCAGCAATAATAGTGGTAATCTGGATAACAACTCCTCATAATTCATGGACTAATCTGGCTGTCCACAGAGAGCATTAAATACATCCTGCCTTCCTCTCATTTACATCATGGATATGTGTCCAACTGGCCACTGCCAGAGTTAAGATAGTAGACATCATTAATACGAATGGTCTGATCTGTTGAAGCCAATTCCACATTTCTATTTATCAGTTGTCTGTACTACAGAAAACCACTTTACAACTTAAAGAGAAGAGAAGAGAAGAAGGAAAAGAAAAGAAATTTGACTTAGGTTATCCCCTTTAACATATTTCATCAAAAGAATGGATAAAATATTTATTCATTTACTGTCCTTTACATTCCCATCAAAGTGAATAGAGAGACATTTAATAAGACATGGAAACATTAAAGAAGCCTTTTATCAGAGTGGATGGGAACCTGCTTAGAACAAACATTTTGGCCTAAGGGAAAGTTTTTGATCTGTGAAGCTTAAACTTAAAACACTCTCATATTGGATCATGTGGTCAATTTGCATGAAATAAATGATTTGCTTAAAACTTGTAAAGCTATAAAATAGAATTTGACAAGTCATTAGCAATAAGTGGTATCATACTGGCATTGTGAGCACACTGGTGCTATCATTAGAAAACTGCTGCCACAGCAAAGCACAGGGAGATAATGGGGCCAGCCTACAATTTGACCTAGAGGAGTTAGATCATTGCCCCACACTGTAGATACCACTCTGCAGTCCAAATTATCGACTATCCTTCATCATTACGCATCTACTCAACATCCTGAGCCACTGCCCTTTATCCTTTTTCCCACAAAATATTCGTCCAAGTTATAAAAATTATCACTTTCTCTAACTGGAGAATAGGTGGTCTGTTCTCCAGTTTTATTTTTCAGTGGGGAAAAAAAGAGCTAATGTTTATTCTAGGACTTTGATCAAATATAGAAGGAAAAAATAAGATTACCCATTCTTTATTAATTGTTATGTTGTTTTTTGCTTTCATTCTGAACTGGAAATTCAATTGCTCCAGTTTCTGTGTGTTGACATAGTTATGAATATAATTTTTCTATTCTGGTTGGCAACAAAGGTAATCAGCAGCTCATTAGTTCAGTTTGCAACTTCAAGATTATTTTTTTCAGACATAAAGCATTTGGAAAATTATGGCTAAATATCTGGATTCCTGAAGTTTGGCTAACATTCATTTTAAGCTATAGTTATTCTGTGATATCAGTAAATATGCACTTGGGTTTATTGACAAGACAGGAAATACATGGAAAATTTAGGATTATTACCATTTGTTGCAAAACACCTTCAATACATTGGTTTTATCAATGTATTAACATTTTGTCAGTGGCTCAGGCATATGTCAAGTTTAAGCAGCTCTATGTTTGATATTTTATACAAATTACTGGGTAAACTGAATCACACGCTTGCAAACTATGTGCCTGCAATTGTACATGTGTTGATGAGATGCAATAACATTAAATCCATGATGCTCAAATCTCACTGCTGTCTTCAAGATGATGTTTTTCTCATGCATTCCCCATGAGTATACACACCCTTGCAAAGTGAGAGCGGTAAGTAAGATGTTGCAGTTTCCAAGACCCATTATAGTCTAAATTTCTTTTCTGAGTCTATCATCAAGCATGAGGCATGGCTTTGATTTTTTTTTTATGTGAAGCTGGAGCTGAGTTTTAACAGTCTGTTTGCATGTGGACTCTGGTGCAGTGACCATATGATGGTGAATCAATATTACATTTAACTACTTAATTTTATTTTATACACTTTTCAAATGACAGTGACAGGATAGCTACTAAGACTAAATGCCAGTGAAATAAAAGGAAATAAGGAGGCTGTAAATATGTCATAAACTAGAAAAAAGGCACAAGTAATATGAGTACATTAAATATGTTCATGAATCTGTGGAGAGACGAAGTGAGAAGTGTTTTGTACAAAACATGATATCTGCACTAGGGTAAGACAGTACGGAAAGTCCCAGCTGAGCACTCTGAGAGAGTAGAGATGTTTCAGTTAGCAGCTGGAATCAGAACTTCATCAATGTTTACAATGCATGACCTGGTTGGTATTGGCTAATTAAGAATAAGCCTTAAGGATGAGAAACATCATAATTTTTTCTGGTGTTTCCAGGAGCTCATTAAGTGGACTTTAGGGAGCAACTAAAGATCATTTGTTTGACAGAAGAAAATAAGACTTTGTTGTAGAAGAGGCATCATGTGTGTGCAACCTTATTATTATAGTATTATTATTATCTTTTGAGTCTAGGAAAGAAAACCAGAACTGTAACATTCCAGCATATGTTTGAGTCACGTGGACTTCATTGGTTTCAAATGTGACTCTTAAAAATAAATTACTTTATTTGTTGAGAAATATATTCCCTTCTTATAGTGGCAGAAATATATTGGCTTTTATGCACACTGTAATACTTTTAACATGAACCATTTTGAAGGGAGCTCAACCTCCCAGTGAAACTGCTCAGCTTGTTGGTGAATACATTTTCTATGCTTCTTAACCTGTATTCTTAGGTGCAGCACATAAGGAATTTGCACCACCTCGTCTTCTTCTAGAACACAGTCCAAGAAAGAAACCAGCAGCTATTGAAGGCAAGTTTGAGTTTTTCCACCTTTATTGGCTTCTACTTATTAACTTGACTGTTTGTTCTAATGTTTTGGTTTTTTTAATTTTTAATTATTTTTTTTTTTTTTTAAATATAGCCTATATTACAAAAGTGATCAAATTCCTAGGCCTGGGACAGGAATGACACAGTGACATATGCATGACAAAACCTAAATGTTCCTTATAGTAGTCTCACAGATGGCTTGGGGGATTTCCTGAGATTACGGGATTGAGGCCTAATATGTAAAGTGCTTTGAATGGCATTCAGCCATAACGTGCTATCTAACTATAAACATAATCAACATTATCCTCTTAATATACTTTGGATTATTCTTTCAGCTATTGTTATTCAGTAATTTTTCTGGGCCTTATTTGTAATAATGAATATAATATTTCTGGCTCTGCATTTATCAACTCTATTGCTATTGTTGAAACCACTGAAAGAGAAATACAAAGTCAGATCTTACTTTCAGAAGATTAAAACATAATCCTTGCAATTGAATTATATTGTTTATAGTCTGATCATTACAGTAAAGTGATTGAATTATTAAATTTAATTTTAAAATGAACTATGTCTGATGACTTAGAACTACAATTACAATATATGTTCTTGGTCTTTACACCATACAATTCAATAGTACAAAACAGCTGAGTCTTTTAGTGTAATTATGTAGCAGTTTTCATATGATACTTGAGTCCTTCAGTCACGCCATGGCACTTGCTAATTTCTCTCATAGAGGTCTTAGTTCTATGTTACCCAGAAAGCAATTGCAGTCTAAGAGAGGAACAGATGGGGTGGCAGCAGAGTAAGTAACAAGAGCTACAAGATTTCCTGCATTTGAAAACAGAAAATGAGACTCAGGTTTTGCCAGGACCCGTGACTGAAACAAAGTGTTACATTAATTAGATATTTCTGTAATGTGATTATTGTGAATCAGAACATTTGGATAAAAATAGTTATGTGACTTATTATGTCTTTCCCCAAAAATCTTGTTACCTAGAATGATTATTTCTTTTTAAACATGCTGTTTAAAGCAGTATAAAATTGTGGTTATTTTGAGACAGTATAGAAATAGATTTCCACTCTTGCTTACTTTAGGAAAATGTTTGAACCCTGCTTATAAGCAGAAAAAAGTCCCTGCAATGTTAATCTCTGTTATCTGTCAATTAACCATAATGGAAAAAAGACATAATAGAACAAGGCTCACACGTTTGCTGAATGATAAACTTAATCTTTAAATATAACTGTTACACAAGATGAACTAGCATCAAATTAACATTAAATTCTTAATTTTCAAAATCATGAGGAGCATGCAATTACTGCAATTGCACATAGAAATTACTATTTATGACCAGTTACACATTTGTGTGTTTCATTAGCTCATTTATGCATGCAATTCAGGTAATTGGGACTGTAAATTAGACACCCATTTGGCAAACAAATTTGGGGGAGATTATCTGCTCAGAACCATATAACTAAATTCCCTTTAAGGCTCAAGGCCAGTCACTAGGATACAGCGCTTTTCATGCAAGAGATTTGGAGGATATGAAGAAGCAGAATTACTTGTAAAATGTTATCATGAAAAGCTGTTATGTCGTGTTATTCTGTGTTTTCCATGTATGAGAAAATATGCCACAGTGCCTTGAGGAACCCTAAACCCTGAAGTTTTATTTCAGCCCTAGAGGAAAAAAAAGTAATTTATGAGAATATTTGGCAAAATGTCAGAAGGGAAAAAAGAGGAGTAGGCAGACAAATTTAAATCTTTAAAATAGCTGAAGAGACATCTGCATGTGACTTCTTAGTGCTTAGATACTTTTATGACTGGTACATCACTAAATATCATTGATCAGGAGAAGGGACAGATTGAAACAAAAGATTCTTCTTATAAATATAGTTGGAAATAGTATCATAAGTTGTCAGAATAGAGAACAGACAGAAGAATTTTTAATGGAAAAATATACTTTATATAACATCAAAGACTGACTTAGCTTTTGACAGAAGAAACCAGCTCTGAAAAAAGGTAAAACTGAAGGAAGTAACAGAATCAACAGAAAATTTATCAAACAGAAAATTTATGAAACCAATCTACTTATACCTGAGGGTATCCAACTCAGTGATATTCAGACATTATATATGTAATTTTGCAGCTGGTGAAGACTGAAAGGATCTTACTCTTTCTCTAGATTGACATGTTTTCAGTATCGCTCTATTTTGCCACTGCTGCCTTAGGTAATCTTGGACCATTCTTGTTTTCTGATAAGGTAGAAATAGTGGTGTGTATGTGCCACATATCTCTAAAATTTTTAGATTATTTCATACCTTCAAATGGAATGTTTTTCATGGATAGTATCCAATGTCCTGTAGAAATTATGGTCTGCTCAATTATTGAGGCCTTAGAAAAAGAGCATATCATTATACATTAAATCTCACTTTTTGTCCCATTGTCATTGCCTTTTTCTCTTCCTTCAGCTCCACTGTAAATATTTTGGAAAGGGGGTAATTATTAAGACAATCTCAATTTGTACACTGGATTCTAGTAGTAAGCAATTAATTGCATAGAATTGTGTGTATGAGTTGAAATTTTCAGATATCTCCTGGTTAAAAAGCAAAATGCTTTGTACTAATCTGGTCAGAAAGAAAAGAACAGATCATTGCTTTCCTATTTCATGGTTGGTTGGCTTTTTCAAAGATCTTACCTTAAAACTTCAATGAAGAGTTTGAATTTTCAGATCATGAGCAGCATAGAATAATAAAACAAAATATAGGATCCTGTAACAGTGAAGAGAAAGAAGGTAAAGGAATTTGCGAAGATAAAGGTATTGATATATAACATCTACTTGTATTTCACGCTTGGAAACCTTGTTCAGTAAACTAGGAACTAAAGAACTAATTTTAAATTCTTTATCTTATCTTTTTATGGAGCTTTCACAAGTACTTCGAAGCAATGTTCTCAGCCTGGCTGACACTGATGCTGCCATGTCAGGACACTGGTGCCACCAGTAATTTGAATAGATCAGCTCTCCATGGCTGTGTGAACTTTGACTTTAATATCCTTGTTCTTCCTTGGCTGTAGTCTTCCACACCACTTTTAACTCTAGATTTCTTTTATTTTGTTATTCACTGACATCCTAAAACTTCTCTGCAGTGTATACTGCTTCTCTGTGATTCTCTTTCTTAGGTCTTGAATTTTTCCTCAGCTCACACAGCTTTTACCTTCCTCCATTTCCACATTCACATGAAAAGGACTTTCCTTTCTGATAGTCCTCCCATGTTTCCCTCTCTGACATGGCAGGGTAATAACCCAGGAAGACTCTGCAGTTAGACAAATGCAAAAACTAAGATCAGAGGCCTAGCTAGTTATCGGTGAATCTTGTTAATTGTTCCAGAATGGCATGTTTTTGCCTTCTCACAAGATCACAGTACCTTTGTGAGAAGCCTGTACCAAAATCCTTCTCCTGGTGGAAAGAATCTTAATGCATGTGGTATGTGATCTCAAGAAGACCTATGCTTTCTACCACTTTGAAGAGCACTGGATGACAAAAACTATTTGAACAGCAATGTTTCTGAGTATGGTTTTCCAAGTTATATTGTCATAAAAGTCTGTTCCTGTATCTTTGAGTGGGAGAGCATTATCATGGAAGAGTCATCAACATAACTATTCTGATCTGTTAATGAATCATGACAAGCTCTGAAATATCCCCCGTCCTTGACTGAAGTATACTGGATGTTCCTTGTCATCTTGATGGCATCTGTGATATTAAGTGAGGAGCAAAAAAAATCTATATCTTCAGAGGATCTATGAGGAAAAAGAGTGTTTTCTCTAGGTCATTGAATCCTCTAATTACAAATTTTGCAGAATGCAGTAAAGCAAGTTGCTGTGAAATGTGTTTAACTTCCCTCAAAACTCCTGTGGAGGCTAAATTGGCAACTGCATCTGTGTTGCTATATAGAATTTACACTACCTGACTGTCTTAAGAAGAATTTCTATAATGAACAGAATCTATAGAAATCTGTATCTCTGTTCATTAATATAACATTTGGGGATATAACCAAGAATATCTAAATTACTGAAGTCAATACAAATTTTGACAAAGCTCCCTTGATGTACAGGAGTGTATAAATCTTGTACAAATCAATCTGCTTCTGTATATTCTGTCAGTGTCTGCCTTCTCTTCTGCACATGGATTGTTCTATAAAAAACTCTGGTTTTCTTCTATACTATAGAATCAATTATCTTTTAAAAAATCCTTTCAGTGAGAGATCATGATTCAAGACACAACAGAACCCTTAAAAAAGGCATAATTTTGAAATCTTTCTCCCCATTTAGAATATTCTTAATAATATTGACATGAGTTGTCAAAATCATCCATTTTTCTGATAAATTTTAGTCCAAGGAAGAATATAAACAGGAAAAAGAAATGTATTTCTATTAGAAATATTGTAATAAAATGAGTTAAGTTTAATCTAGGTTAATAGATGAACAGTTTAGTTAGCTTTAATGCTTTGCTGTATTTACAGCATAACAAGTTTTTTTTGAGAAATATGGGCCTTATATCGCCACGAGTCTCTACTGAAGGCAATAAAACCTTTGAAATAATATGAACAGGGTTGCAAAGTGAACTATTTAATGATTTAAATTAGATGTTTAAGCAGTAAATTCTAATGATTTAGCAATGATGAAAAAACCCCAAATCTTCTCTGTTTCAGAAAGCCCTTGACATTTTCCTTAATGACATGAGACTCTTCTGTACTGTTTCTATTTTATCATAAAATACAAAAAGTTAAACAGACATTAGAAAAAAGCATACTACTGTGAGAAAAATTATGCATAAAGATATGTATATTTTGATTAGACATATTATTATATTTTTTCATCATTTATAATAGTACCATTTAAAATGTTAGAGTATACATTTGAAAATAAATATTCACCAAAGTTTATCCAATAAAACACAAACAAATACCTCGGAAGACTATTCTAACTTTTCAAAGTGCTTTTTAAATGTTATAGAAAAACATAGTCTTTCACATATGTTGCACCTGCAAATGGAAAACACTTACTGGAATTAAGTTAACCCGGGCTTTCAAAGGGAGAACTCCCATGTTTCTCTGGAAAGAAAAAGGAAACTCTTACAAAGGTTCTGCATAACCTCATCATCCCATTAATAAAGCTCAGACATGCTTGCCCAGAACCATGCTGAATAAATCAGCAAAACCCTTCCAGCGCTGGTAACAGAATTGGTCCTGACATTGATTCCTGTTGTCCAGTAGGAATTTCAGTCACAGGAAGGGTGAAGGCTAGTCCAGCTTCCTTAGCTGTGTTCGTTTGGCTCTCACGAGTAAACATTGCACCATCAAAAATCACTGCTTGCCTGGGAATTTAAGTGATCATCATATTCATATTTGTGTCGTATTTACCATTGACCATTGTCAAGCAGAGTTTCTGTTGCTGCTCTTGTTATGGAAGCTGTTCTGTCGTCTTTTTTGACTTGCCATGTCTACTCTGGCTTCATCTCTCTTGTGGTTTTATTCCTTTGCTCCACACTGTGCTGTTCAGTGAGGGCAACATATGGGCCATGCTATTAACAAAGACTTCTGGTGCTTAATGTAACAGAGCCATGAAAAAGAAGTCCATAATCACTACAGGAAGAAAGAAGAAACATTTATGTAGGTCATATGAAAACATTAGGAATTTCAAGCATGATATTTTTATTGCATAGATTCTGCAGACCTCAAAATTATCTCCACAAGCAATCTTCACAGCTGCCAAATAGTGTTTCAGACTGGGATTTGAAAACAGTGAAGGAGTTTCAAAAAAAGTAGAGTCAAGCTGGAGAGATTTCCTAGGCCTTCAGGCTGTGCTATATCTCCAGTGATCTGTGTGCCCCAAGAGCCTTTCACTTGCCCAATATGAAAAGAAATTGTATTTCCTTACTCTGCAGGGAAAAAAAGGTGGTGTCATTTAAACAGAGCTTTGCAAATAAATGCACTTCATTTTGGCCTAAGCATTCAGTTAGTTCAAGCAGTAAGTTAGAGAGAGCATGTGTGTCCATGTGTGCATGCAGTTTGTGTTTGTGTGTGAACAGGAGCAATTGTAAGAACGTTAGGAACTTTAGATTAATACTATTTAGGTTTCTTTGATCTTTCTTGGCCATTCAGTAATTTGACTGAATCAAGACAGAATTATTTCTCATGGAGAAAATAGCCAGACCAACAAAGACTCTCTTACCTCAGAAAGAGATTTAATTTTTTTTTTTTTAAGACACAGCTAAGGTACATTTTTACATGAAATTTAGATTTACTCTTAAAGGTATGAGTTTTCATGACATCCTAAACTAAGCAGAAATATCTCCTTGAATTGTTTATTTATTTCTCCAAAAGCTTTGTAACCCTTAGGGGTTCTTATTATGTGAATGGACGTTAAATGTTTAGAACCAAAAGTTATTGTTAGTCTCTACTCTAAGCAACAGGTCAAGGGGAAAGAAAAGGAATACCATCAAAACTGAAATATAATGAGTTATTCTAATATTTAAAAGGATATCCAACTCTCACTGAAATCAACAGCAAAACTTTTATCAAGTCCAGCAGAGAAAGAAATTTAGTCACCCAATAAAATAAAGAGGAACTGTAATCCCTTCAAAATTAATAAGGAAAAACATTTTTAAGAGGCAGCTTTTGTTTTGCTTGAATGGTCTTTTAAAATTATGTCAATGACAGCTTAAGGTGTACAGAGCTTCTTGGGCAAAAATGAAATGAAGTCTTATCCTGAATGAAGTCACTGTGTTCAGTCTGAATTATAGTTTCTCAGGAAAAGCTGAATTAATGTTTGTTTTGTTTTCTTTTGTGTCAGTGAGTATACATGTGTCTCTGCTGATCCTGAGTTCTGCCAGGACTGGAATCTGTAGGCAAGAAAAGCTGTTGTAGCATTTCACAGTCAGGCAATAAATATCCAAAGTCTCTCACAGGAGCTTTCCTCCTGAGGTTTAGACAAGAGGGTTTTATATAAATGCAGATAAGCCTCATATAAGAATCTGAACTTTAGAAAGCTAATGTGAACCGAAACATCCCCAAACTTCTGGCAGTCAGTCCCACTAATTAGTGTTTGCTATATGCATGCCTCTCCACCAGAAGGAATCTGTGGCTATATTTTGCTTCCCTGCTTACCTCAGTCTCTCAGAAGCATTGGGATGAGCTGACAATTCCTTCCAGAATCAGACTTTCCATAAGAACATGGACCATCTGGAGCAGTATGGTAAAGAAACTCTAAGAGCACCTTCTTCTTCCAGTTCCTGTGCAGCATTCCTGTGACACTATGCCCGTAACTCATGTGCATCCCTAAATTTAGATTCCACTCAGCACTGGCAGAGTAGCACACTGGTCTTACCAGGCCTGATTTCAAGTGCCACGTTCTTAACGTGCTTCTGTTATCTCCCCTCCCACCATTGTCCAAGAATTAGCTGGTCTCCTATGAGAATAACACAAAGACAAGGTGCTGTCAAGATGGGTGGAGGAAATTCAGATTGAAACATCCCTTTCTTGGTCTTTGCTGAGTCTTACTTGGATTTCTACTGGCCTTGGTCCATCATCCCTCATTAAAACATAAATAATTCCATCTCAGAGGTTACTTTGCTTCAAGGTCAGTTCTGTTCAATCCAGCCACTTTGCAAGAAAATTATTCTATGCTGCTTCTTTTTATTTTTCACCCAGGAATAAGTTTTTGCCTGAGTGTCCCATTCAGTAGTATATGACTGCTTTAATTCACAATACTCCTGTTCACTGGACTCCATCTTATACTACATAAAGCTCAACTTCTGCGTAGAGCCTACAGAAAAAAAAAAAAAACTTGACTAAATGAAAAGTCCATTGCTGACCTTGCTGACTGATTCTGTCATACACCCTTCCAGCTGCATATATCCTTATTCTTGTAAATGTATTACAGACTTTTAAAAGGGAGGTCTTTTCATACTTGTATGTCTTACACTGTTCATGAAGTGTGGCTCAGTACTAATATTACTGGTGAAAAAATCCTGTTAATTAAGAAACAGTAGCAATAACAACAGATTTTTCCATAGTTAATTGGCCTTGAATTTTATATTGTGGTCAATGCCAAAATCTCCAAAGCACCTAGTGTTTCCCTGTGTAACCCACAATTTGTAAATATTAGGATCCCTCTTTATGCAGTTGGGCCTTTGTAGTTCTGTAACTGTTCCTAGGTAAAAAAGTAAGTGCTTTCAATTAAGAGATGGGGTTCATATTTTACAGCACAAAAGACCAGCCTAAATTCCTATTTAATTATTTGCTCTGCCTCTTAATTTAGCTATGTACATATCTGCATAAAGCCCACTACATTTACTGCTTCAGAAATTATAAGTTTTGCTGGTGTTAAATATACACTTAATATACAACATTTTAAATGTGAGCTGCTGAAATTGGGAGAAAATAAATTTATTCAAGAAATGGGATTACTTCCTTAAGTCAGAAATAGCTCTTTCCATAATACCCATTTACCAAGTCCATCATTCTCATTTACAGAAATTTCTCTCAGTGGCAGCTGTGAGGGGCACCAGTGGGGCTAGATGCAGCTGAGATGTGAATGGAAGCTCAGTGACTGTTTTTCTCAGAATTGAGCAAGAGTGCTTATCTTGCATTAGGCAGCATAACAGTCCTTTAATACTTCTATGTAATCATCCCCCAGAAACTTCATAACAAATATAGACATTTCAAAGTTGCCTGGACGCTGAATAATGTAACTTGAGAACCTGATGGAAGAAAATTATATCAGTGGGATTAAATTGTGGAATGATTTGGCAATGAAGATTCTGCAGCCCATGGATGTCATCATCCTTGCTTGGGTTACTGGCAGTAAATGTTCCTGCCACTTCCTGTTTATCTTCTATACAAAGCTTCACTTCTCAAAGCTCAGTGCTTCAGCTTGTGGTTTTCAAGATGCTTATGGCTCTGAACCTTGCTATGCAAATTAAAGCAGATTTCATCTGCTTTTTTTTCTGCGCCCCAGAGGCATGCAAAATGCTACAATTTCAAAGGCAGAAATGGTCTCGGATTAAAGAGAATCTTGTTGTAAGGACCTTGGGCTTACAAATTATTCTCATGCATCACCTAGCACCAGACATTTAAGACACCAAAAAAAATCAATCTAACTCATCAGAACAGAGGCACTCAGAATAAAAAATGGACATTACAGAAGTCCCAGCAGCACTTCAACATCTAATTACTGTAAGTAAAGACTCATGGAAGGAAGACAGAAGGAAGCTCTTTTCTGTCAGTAAATAACACACACTTAGTATGTTTAACAGTTTTGATTAATTCAGGCAGAGTATGCAAATAATTAAACCACATTTTAGAAATTAGAGGAGATCTACATTGCATGTAGAAATAATCCACTGAGGAGTTATAGGTGGCACAGGAAAGTGGAGCTGTGGAACAGGTTTTGTGAAATCTGAAGGTGAAGAGACTTCCATTTCAACCAGACAGGTGCAATCCCTAGCACAAGTCTCTGGAGAAGTGTGTCAGGGAGAGAGAGAGAGATAGGCAATAACAAGAATATTAAAGTGCACAAGAATATGAAGTTCCAAACAAGTTAGTGTAGGATGAACACTACTCTGATGCCCTGCACACAACTAAGAAATCTCACAACACAGAGGAATTTGTAGCTTGAAGTGTAGTGTAGTGCTCAGAGTTTCAGCAGGAAGAACTAAGCACATAAAACTCAGAGAACATTCTGTGGAATGTATGTGAGAATTTTCTGAAGACAATAACGAGAGAAACACATTGAACAAATCTGTTTAAAACAAGAAAGAAGGGGAATACATCTGTATTATGCTTAATATTAAAAGCAATTGTCAGAAAAGCATCACAAGTATAATTTCAATAGACCCTGAATATTGATAAATACATTGCCTCCACAATAGGCAAAATAACTTTATTTATGTAATTAACATAGAGAGACTGTGGAATTCAGGTACTCTATAAACCCAGCAATTTTTCAATTTTTCAAAAATCAAACATGCAGATATCGTTTACTTTATGTCAAGTGTTCTACAAATTTTAATTTTTTCCCCTGTGTGTATATATTTTTTCCATGCAGAAGAAAAGTCTGTAGTGGTACCTAGAGAAGTGAAAAGTAAGTTGTTTTTTGTTTTGTTTTGGTTTGATTTTTTTTCCTTTAACTTCATGTTAGTTTTGTGCAAGGGACAGGAGTATATTTGGTGCTTGGATTTGAAAACATTCTTATTCCTTAAACATTTTCCATTAAAGAAAATACTCTTGCTTAAATTCTCATGGTTCTGTCTTTTGTAAGGTAATAAATCTTGGTTTCTTATCCACATTTTTAACAGTAAAAGATCACAAAAAGAAAACTATAGTTTCACTAACTATATTTGGGTATCAATACCTGAAGCCATGCAGCAAAAACTGAAGGTAAAAAATTTGTGGTTTCATGGATGAACAATTAAAAAAGCTTTTAGATTAGCTCTTCTTGTACTCTTGTATTCTTTCCCATCACAAAGGGGATTCATTTCCCAAAGGAAAAATAAGAATTATAACTTTCTCATATTCTTTACCAAACTCTCAATTTTCTAATTGAAAACTTTCATGAAATAAGTAATTAATTTGTTTAAGCTTGTTTTTAAAAAAGAAAAATATTCTCTATATTTCTACTGTTGCCCTAATAACTGCCAAAATGGAGACTGATGCTTTTGAAATGATGTAATGTTTTGTAGATGGTGCTTTAACAACTCTCCATAAATAAGTCCTGTAATGACAGTTTCAAAGATTCAATTAGTAAAAAGTGTTATAAAAGTATATTGCATATGCAGGCTTTTCATGGCATTCTCTACTTGTTCCCAAGTACCATGTGCAAGTTTTGCTATCGTTCAGTCAGGTCTTACAAAAGAAGCAGAGCAGGTGCATGGCTATTGAGTCATCACAATAAACTATTAGTTACACCATAGTTTCTTCGATTAATATTTAAGTAATAATCTGGTGTGCATGTTTGTTCCAGTTTTATTCTTAGCAGGACACTCACTCTCTGGGTATTAAGCTGCACTTCTGAGCTGCTGGCAGTAAGCGATCAGCTTATCAAATTTGAGCATATTGCAGTTAGTGGATGCCCCATCCCAAATATATATGTATATACATATATACGTGCATACATACATGTTTGTTTGTGTGTTTCTGTGTAAAAGTAGCCAGCTGAACTTCCATTTCTTTTTTTTAGAGAGAAAAGAGGAGAAGAAAAAGAGTGATGAAAAGAAGGCTACAACTGAAACTAAGGTGAAAGGTATGGTTTGGAAACAGTTCTTACTGGCCTCACACTTGTGGCTCATTTCCTGTTGTTTTCTGTTAGGTTAATCCTATACTTCTGGCTGTATTGTCCTTCTCTTAGTTGTTCAGTCACTATTTGTATGTTTCCACTTCTTCTGTATCTAATGTCTAATGTTTCCAATGTGTTCAGCATGTAATATTACCTAAACTCATTTTCTGACAAATGAAATGTCCTGTTTGGTGGCCATCTATGAGCTTTTTAAACAATTTAATGGAGTCCATATATAACAGGACTTAGTTATACTGCAATACACAAAACTCAGGGAAGATATCACTCAATTCACGGTACATCAGTTTCTGAAGGTAGGGTAGATCTATTTATTTTATAGAATTACAATTGAAACTTACAGTGACCAAACTGCAAAGTCATGATATCCATCTAAATAATATTCCAATCATAAATTCTCAGAAAGAATCTAAAATACACAAAGGTGTTGCTTCATGCAAAATATTTAAGTCATTCATTATTTTTAATGATCTCATTGCTACTGGAACTTGAGCTAAAAGCTGCCACATTCATGCACTGATGATTTTTGCCTAACTTTTGATGAAATATTAAGGGTCCAAATCATCCATAGTTGATGCATACTGATTAATTTTCATTTTTAGCTGATTGCTTTGTGGCTAGTTGGGTGCAAATGCTATAAGGGAATAATCTCAACTCCCAAATAAGTCATATTTTTTTCAGTATGTGCCCAGCAGGACTTGGTTGACTGCATATTTGAGTGTATGATTCAGAGTTCTAGCACATCAAATTACTCTCTTTAATTAAATCTTAGAAAAAACAGGAAAAAAGGAGAAAGCTCATGAGAAGACAGCTGTCCCTGAAATTAAAAAAGCAGGTAAGAAATTGAACTCTGACTTTCTCTGCAATGATATCTGATTATTTAGTGTAATCACTTTCAAGTTTTAAACATTTGAGAAAAGGGTATATGTAGTTCATTATCATTCAAGCATCCAAGTGGAAATTAGATAGATAGATAGATAGATAGATAGATAGATAGATAATGTATCACTGTATATATATGTATACATTGTGTCTGTATTTATATTATATATTCTAATATATTATATATTCTAATTCTATTATTATATATTCTATTCTATTCTATTACATGTCTGTATATATAATACATGTAATTTTCTGTTCTTTGATCTTGGGACTTATACAAATATAATGAGTTTGTAAATATAAATACATTTACAAAGAAATTACAAACACTGCTTTCACTTATACACTAAATTTATCAAGGGCATAACTAATTTCAAAAGCTATAAGGCAAAGAGAGAAAGAAGAGTATATGTTTGACCATGAACTATTTTAAAAATACAAATAATTTTAAGTAATAAATGGAATTATTACCATATAAAAACACTAGGTATAAGAGAAAATAGATGATTATTTTCTGAATTTTTACTCATGCCCAGAAAACATTTTTTTTTAGTTTAATTACGTGAATATGCTAAACCTAATTGATTGTTTCATGCATAAAAATATCAATATTTCAATAAGATTAGAAATTAGCAATTTGGGTCTTGTCTACACTAAAAATGTATTTTTCTTCCCCATTATTTTAGTAAGTCTGCAAGTATATTTAATGTGGAAATGCAAAAGTGTCTCCAGTAAGTGACACAGCCTGCAAAACTGTCTCATTAAAATCGAGAAACAAAATGCTCAGTCTAGTGGTTGGTCACCATCTGAATACCTAGAAACACTGATTCCAATTGATGCTTTATCTGTCACTTTATATACAACATTCTGCAAGCCCTCAAGTACTCAGATTAACCCTTGTGTAAATTAGTGCAATGCCTAAAGCCACAGAGAAAGGTTCAAAATAGGATATGTAAATATTCAGGGCTATATTTACTATGTCCTCAAGGCAAGCCTTGTGCTCTGTTTTCTAATTATTTAAATCTGTTGAATGTTATCAAAAGCTGAAAGGATCTATATCCCATTGTCTACTTATATTGTGATTTACATATGAAAATTTCAATAAGCAACTGGTTTCTTTGCCACTGAATAATATGTAGACTGCATAAGTTATCTTATTCAAGTGTTTATGCGTGGGAAGAAAAATAGTAATTTATGTTTCAGAAGATATAAAAATGCACAGATTACCTGGGACAGCTATCTTGGTAGCCCCTTATTTAAATATGACTTTTATAGTAGGGATTTTTACACATTGAGGAAGGGACAGCGATGAAAGAGAATATTCTTTTCCTAGTTAAGTTGCATATTTTAATGTATAAACACAGGTTTAAAAAGAACGTAAGCTAACAATTCAAATACCTTTCATTATTTTATTCTGGTTCTAAGCTTGTATTTCACTTCAGAATACAGAATTGTAAAAGATTACATTTTATGGCAGAGCTGCAGCATAAAGTCATTAATATGTTCATCTTCACAAGCAGTTGCTAAATCCAGTGAGCCATCCTTTCTAGCCTAATGCTAGAAAGACACAAATTACACAAACCAAGATATCTACACATTTCTGTCTCTTTTATTAGCTCTGTAAGTTGCTGCATTTTTGGAGTTTACTAGCCTTTGTGTAAGAGGACGGTAATTCATAATGTATTCTAGCTACACATGTTGCTGTTATTCCTCTTTCAGATTATTCTTTGAATACATGTGCACTTTCCACGTTTGGCAGCACCCACTGTTATACCTAATATGTTATAAGCCTGAAATAACTGCCATCTTTGATGAACAAAATAATAGTGTGTAGCCCAGTTTTGGAATGAGGCACCTCGATGTCTTTACATAATTTGGACAGACACAGAAAATCAACCTCAGAATATTTGAATCAGCAGTATACATAAGCATCCAAAAGCAAGGAACAGCTTCCACTTTTCTTACCTTATCCCTTTAAAGGCTAGGCAGAGGCCTTCTCACCCTGGTTCTCAAACTCTTGCATTGCCTCTGAATGTCTCTGGTTTGTGTCGCATTTTGCTTCCCCTGACCTTTGCAATCCGTGAAGCTGAGGTGTTTTCAGGGCAAACTGCCTTCTTTCTCACTGCCACTCACACTCATCCCCACACCAGTGGGCAGCTCCTTCTGCTCTGAGGTCCTTCTGGCACCCACGTCCCACTGTTGCTCCACACCCTTGCATACTTCTCCCAGGAGACTCATGTCTGGCTGGAGGCCCATTAACCAAGCATTCCCTATAGAGGAATGGTGGCATGTACAGGCTGTCAGGCTCAGGGGAGAGAGAGAGAGAGAGAGGAAGAGGTGCTGTGAAAGCACTAAGTGATAAAAACATCTCTAAAATAATGTTCTGAGAGAAGCACTTCTCAATATTCATCTCCATCTCTCTTGCTCTAACAAGGAATTCTTGTAATTGTGAATACTGAATATATTTTCAGATTAATATTTTAGATTGGTCCTTTGGTCCAAGAGACAATTTTATCTCTACTGCTACCGGAATGGAGGTTTTTTTATTGCACTTTATTAACTGCATCCCTGTGATATATTTATTTGCATGCCAGCTCACTCTTTCTCCAATTCTCTCTCCCTCCATTTCTCTCTCTCTCTCTCTCTCTCTCTCTCTCTTCCCTCTCTACTGCTGCAGAGGATCAAGAGTCATCTAATATGAAATGTTCTCAGTCTTTAGTACAGAGCAAACTGGATGATTCTTAATTAGCTTTTAAAAATGTTTTGTAGATAAAACCACATTAATCCTCTGACCTTCAGCTCATACAAAAGCATTGTGTTAATTGTCCTGAAAAATAGATAATTCCATTGTTACAAACTCAGAGGTCTAAATTAAACAAACATAATCATCAGACACAAGGGTCTGGCACAGTCAGACTTCAAAACCTTTTACAAAAATCTATCCAGCGCTACTCTGCATAGAGAAGGAACTGCATCTCCAAATCCCCTCTATAAGGGGCTTGCTACACCTCAGCAGATATAAAACTTTGCCAGGCTCTCCCAAAGTTTGTTCTGGTGCTTCAGAAACATCAGCCCAGGGGGCTCCAGTCTGCAATCTGACTGAGAAAAGGGACCCTCTGTGTTAAAGTATTGGCGTCCAACCCTACATGATAATGAATATACAGAGACGGGTGCTTTCAGGCAATTTACTTGCAGATTTTTTCTTGATGGTCCCTTTCCCAGAGTCTGGACCTTCCCTTCTCCTTCTTAAATAAACTTTCTTAAAAATTATATTCACACTAGCCTTTGTCTTTGTTGCAAACTCCTTTCTCACTTTATTTTGGTTCTCAAAACAAATCACATAGGTAAAAGGAGTTTATACATCAATAATGGTGGCCTGGATCATCACATCATTTTCTTGTTAAAATTCTGCTTCAACTGTCATTAATGATCTTCCTGTTATTCTTGCATTTTTTTGGTAACAGATCTTATAACTGCTTGAGGAAGATAGTCAGTGTCTTTTTCCACACTTTTCAAATGGGAAATTCAGGTACAGAATACAATCCAGGCCATTGTCCACATATTTATCTTCTGTTTATACATATCTTCTGAAAGCTAAACCAATGCTAGCTGGATTAAACATCCCAAATTTTTCTACACTTTCGCTATTTCCCTTGTGATAACCCAGAGACATCAGACAATGCAAGTGATGTCTAGGAAGAAAATGATTTTGCTAAAATCATAAAGCCTTATCTAGTGTTCAAAAATCCCTTGGTTCTGACCTCAGTGGCAAATATTTTAAGGTCACCACACTTAAATACGTCCCTGAGCAGTTCTGATGCAGATCTACTCATCCCAGATCAGGGAGCATGATCTGACTTCCAGTGTGTTGTGTTGGTGTATGCATGCTCCCAACAGAGTTGGAAGCCCCTACAAAGGAGCATTGGAGCCACTCCATAAATAAAGGACTTAGCTTGCAGTGGTTGCACACATATTCTTTGGATGCATCTACCACACAATCACAGAATTATTTGGGCTGTGAAAGACCTTTAAGATTATTGAGTCCGACTACTAATATAACACTGCCAAGACACACACTAAACTGTATCCCTACACATTTGAAAATCTTTTAAATACCTTCGGAGATGGTGACTGAACCATTTGCCTGGGCAGTTAGCTGCAGTGTTTGACCACCCTTTCGGTGAAGAAATTTTTCACAATATCTAATCAAAACCTCCCCTAAACAACGTGAGTCCATTCCCTCCTGTCCTACTGCTTGCTAACTGGGAGAAGAGATCAACACCCACCTCACTGCAACCTCCTTTCAGGTTGTTGTAGAGAACAATGAGGTCCTACCTTGAGCCTCCTCTTCTCCAACAACCCCAGCCACTCCTCATAAGATTTGTGGTCCAGACCCTTCACCAGCTCTGTCTCTCTTCTCTGGACGCACTCCAGTACCTCAATGACTTTCTTGAAGTAAGGGGCCCAAAACTGAAAAGAGGTTTTAAGGTATGGTCTCAGCAATGCCAAGTACAGAGGGATGATCTCTTCCCTAGTCTTGCTGGGCACACTATTGCCAGTGCAGGTCAGGATACCATCAGCCTTCTTGGCCAGCCGGACACACTGCTGGCTTACCTTCACCTGGCTGTCAACCAACATCCCCACGTACTTTACTGCCAGTTGGTTTTCCAGCCATTCTTCCAACAGCCTGTAGCACTGCATGGGGTTGTTGTGACCCAGGTGCAGGACCTGTCACTTGGCCTTGTTGAACCTCATACAATTGGCCTCAGCCATCAATTCAGTCTGCTCAAATCCCTCTCCAGAAGTTTCCTGCCCTCCAGCAAATCAACACTCCTGCCCAACTTGGTATTGTCCAAAAAGTTGACTGAGGGGCACTTGATCCTTTCATCCAGATCATTGACAACAATATTAATATGGTAAAGACATATCTATGACGCATGATACCGTGTCATATGTTTCACACCAGGCAGTGTTAGCAGAGGAGGGCAGTGGTGATATCTCTCTTTAGATCCCACAGTAAATCTTTGCCTCCAGAATAGGGAAAGTCTCTGGGGGCTTAAAATTACAGACACAGAGGTACATTTTAATTATGGTACTGTAACAACCAAGTGAAGTCTCTCTGCAGTCATGAAAAAGCAAACTAAAATTTTATTTTGGACATAAAAATTGAAAACAATATCTTAAGACTACCACAAAACTGGGATAACCAGGTTATTCTCACTACTCTGTTGCCCAGTGAGATCAAGACAGCAAGAGGCTGTCTTTAAGTCTGTCTTCTTGGAGGAAGAATATTAGTAATAGGTAGAGCAGAGTGGAGGTGACCAGAAAAGAAGCAAACATAACTGACCATGTACCAGCAAATTTTTGCATGGGTTGATCACAGATGCATTTTCTTGAAAGGACAGTCCTTGTAATTTGAAAACAAACCCACAATGATTTAGTAGTAAATGGAGGGCAAAGACCATTTTATACACCAGTCTTCTTTGTTATTGTCCTCTACACAGGCAGGAAGAGAAAAGCCTTCGATCATTTTTAAATTCCAGGTCTGAACAGCAATTTAAAAAATGCATTTAATTTTGTGACTGCCTTGTCTCAGGTTCTACCCTTTCAGTCTTGATATTAAGCCTTCCACTACAATAAAAGAACCACTACTGACACCTGGTGGCAAATTATCTTTTTCTTTCAATCCTTATGCCTGAGGGTTTTTTGTTTTTTCTTTTTCTTTTTCTTTTTCTTTTTTTTTTTTGTTGTTGTTGTTGTTTGCTTTCAACTATGGCTATTTAAAAAGAGTTTGCTGAAGTAATTATGAACCTACTACTTACCTCCCCATGCTGCTTATCCTACTGATTTCATGGCTAGAAATATGTTAGAATGTCATCTAAATGTAACACTATTCTCATAAGAATAATTTTGGAATGTAAATACTTTCAGTACAGCCAGAGAAGTAAAAATTAATTAAAATATGCCTTATGACAAAAATTATAATCAGGGAAAGAAACGTGTTTGGCTAACCCACTGATCTGGAGAAGTAGATGCATGCCACACCTCCTGAAAAGCTTTGGGCTGATCTAACTTCAGTAGATTGAATGTTTCATTGGGGATTCAGTGTTGATCCTCGGTTTTTCCTGATGAGCAAATCGGCTATAGAAAGACACTTGTAGGAAGACATCTCTCGAGAACAGGGTTTGAAACTCCTCACTTTACCCTGCCCACTGCCAGGAGTGTGTTTCCAGCTGAGTGTCTGACAACGTTAAGCAGCCCAGCTTGGGCACTGTGATGTGTCTCATGTTCCCTTGTGTGAGAGATGCCACATGACAGATGTCAGCAGATGGGAGGATGATGTGAGTTTCAGAGGAGGCCACAATGTAAGATCTGCAACAACCAGTGAGATAAAGACTCTGTCACAATTTAGATTGCTTACAAGGAAAAAAAGGAATTGTGAAATCAGAACAAGAGAACCTAAGATATTTTGAAAGTGGTTGGTCACATCCACAAAATGAAACATGTTTATTCGAAAAATTTCTTTTTTATTAAACAAATTCTGAGGAAAAGGTAAAAACTGAGTCACTTAGGAACTGGAGTGCATGTGCTATGACACGTTTTGGATTGACCAGATGTGTTTTCAGAATGGCTGCTACAGCAAGCAGAAAGTAGGAGCTTTGTGTGGTAGAGCCCTGTCTGACTCTTTTTTTGCCTTTTTATTTTTAATGACAAGAAGACACTGAATTGAGTTGACCCTGGCCAGCTGCTAAACTCCCAAAGAGCCACTCATTCACTCCTCTCTTATCAACATGAAGGGGGGAACAGGAAGAGCAAAAATGAGAAACTCATGGGTTGAGACAAAGACAGATTAATAAATAAAATAAAGAGGACAAAAACAAATTATGTAATCTCTCACCACCTTGCCAAGCAGACCAATGCCCAAATAGTTGAAGCCGAGGACGCCCTTTCCCTGTTCTTCCTCTATTCTCAATTGTTATTGCTGAGCAAGGCATTACATGGTAGGGAGTACACCTCTGTATGTGGGGTATTCCCTACCATATAGTCCCTGTAATTTGGTTCAGATGTTCCAGCTGTGTCCTCTCCCAACCTTTTTCCAGCTCCCAGTATGCACAGACAGAGTGGGAAAAAGAAAAAGCTCTGATGCTGTGCAAGCACTTTTTGGCAATAGCCAAAACTCAAGTTTGCTAACAAATATAACAAATGTCTGAGTAACAAATCTAAACCACAGCATCATACAGGCTGCTATGAAGGAAATTAACTTCTCCCTCCCAAGTGAGCCCAGAAGAGGAACCTACAGTTTGCATTTATCTGCAGCTAAATTTAGAAAGATTAGGAGAAGAGACAAATGTAAAAATTAAGCAACAGAAATAATAGGCAAAGAGTTGCTTTGTGATTCCTCATGCAGACGAATGCATAAGAGCAATAACTAAGGAAACACCATGTGTTATGAGTTCAGAGCTGTTTTAGGAACAAACCACATTAAAGCACACACACACAAAACAAAGGAGAAACTTAAGAACCTTAGAACTATGTGATCCTTCTCTAAGTTATTTCTTACCAGTATTCTTTTGACAGTTTTCTCTACTAGACTGGTTATCCATCTATACATTTCTGCAGAGGTTTGGCTTGTTGTGTTTATACAACTTTTGGCAAAGACCCTGGCTCTGATTTCATCTTAATTATGGTTTCAGTAGATAATATCATTATGTGAATCAATGTCCATACACAAAACCTGTAAAAGCCACCTAATTTTCCCAGATGGATGACTGGAACTTCAGGTTTCGTCTTCTCTACTACAGGCCAATCCATTCCTGACTAATAACTTGCTCATGACCCTACTCTGCATGTCAGGCCCATTCTGTTTTTTCCCTTCCTACTGCTCTTCTCTGGCATCCTATTCATAATTCACTTGCAGTTTCCTGACATTTTTTCATTAGCAGGTGCTTTTGCTTTCACAAACTATGCAAGCAGCCAGTGGTAGCATTTACTAACCCACAGAAATGCTGGATTAGGATTCCTGCACAGTTACCAGCAAGTGATGTAATCTATTTTTTTTCTCTTACACAAATAGGGTTTAGGGGCATCTCTTAACTTTGATAACAATTTCCTGTTCATGTAGCCTTGTACAACAAAATCACAGAAAGAGGAGATGGAAATGACCTACTAGGTCATCTAATCCTTCCTTCTGGCAATGCAGGATAATTCCTTACAGAATACCTT